TGTTCTAATGTTTTAATTATTTATTTATTTAAACTCATTTTTCGCCATCTATTATCTAGTAATGTCAATATTCTTCTTAACTCTATAATATTCTTCTAACTTCCAGCAGCAATATTTCCAAACCGATACGACAACATAACCTTCAAGAAAAGAGTATATTTCTTTTTAAAAGGCCGGCAGCACACCTGCAATGCCGCTGGTGTTGTGGGTGATCATGGGCGGTGGTAGTCACTTACCATCAGATGAGCCGCATGCTCATTTGCCCCCTGTGTTGTAAAAAAAAAATCTACTCGACAATAGAAGGATTTAAAAAAAATAACAAATAAAGCTATGTCAGTAAAATAAATGACAGCTTTGACAGCTGTCATTAGTTCGATGACAAGCGAATTGCTATTACTTATTATTATCGATGTTTTTCATGAATTGTTTCGCATTATTTTGTAGTAGACAAAGTATGTATTGGATTATGGTATTGTTAAAGTATTTTTTTAATGGATGATAATGGAATAGTAACCCCGCCTGCGCTAACGGTATACGCTGGCGGGGCACCAGTGAGGGATGACAGGTGAGAATGAAAAGGCAGGTCAGTTAGCCCATCGTAATGAATACATCTGGAATTCAGCATGATGGATGGTTTCCAGAGAGGACCACATGGAGGTCGACCTGACAGGATATATTGCTGGCAGTGGGACTGGTAACCCGCATTACTAACAATCCCTCCCTATTGGTAAAGTATTAAAGTTGTAAATAGTCTCTGCGCATTTAACTTCTGACCCCTTTAAAATGAGAAATATATATAGCTTCCAAGCTTTAGAATTACATAATATTAGAATTAACATAACTCAAATGTAATATAGAAACCATTTTCTCTTCAAGTGACCTACGCCCTTCAGCACAAACAAATAGGAAGTCATAACAGCAGTCGATCGTAAGTACAGTTCGCCAAACAAGCAGTAATCCATGGACTTTATTGCTCTAGTCATAAGGTCCAAAATTATTTGTATTCGCTACTTTTAGCTTGTACTTTAGCTATAATGAATCTAAGCACTCATTGTTCCAATCCCAAGTGGCTGAGTCATCAATCCAATACTTTCCAGACGATTATGCCAATTTGCACTTTTCGCACTTGACATAAAGCTCGCTTACAAGTTACAAATTAACCACAAAGCATGACGAATTACGTATGTAATGTATACTTAATTAATTATTCATAATGTGATACCGACATAATCGGAGTATAAAAAGTTTTCAACTGAATAATAAACAAGGAATCAAAACTCGTTATACCTATATATATATATATATATATATATATATATATATATATATATATATATATATATATATATATATTTTATGCAACTTAGAATGTACACATTTTTTTAATGGGTGAAAACACGGGTGGGGCACCAGCTAGGGGTTGATAAGTGAGAATGAAAGTGCAGGTCAGTTAGTCCTTCGTGATGAATATATGTGCCTGGAATTCAGCACGATGGTTTTTAAGGGGTACCACGTTTACCTGACAGGGTATATTGCTAGTAGAGAGTATTGAGACTGGTAGTTCATATTACTAAAAAACTCTTCCCCCTCTCCTCCCTTCCCGATGGTTACTAGTTACATTATCTAGAAAGAAAGGAAATATCACTAGGAGCCTACGCTTACAGTGGCAACGATTTGATAATATAATCTAGCTATTTTCGAAACTGCCTCAAATAAATTAATTGATCTACACACAAATTGCCTTTTATATTCGGCAGGATAATCCGTCCAACAGCAGCACATTCCCGTGATTCCTCGGTAACACAATATCTCTGAAAAATTAAATGTCGCTGCTAATACAATATCCGTCTCGTTTATTTATGAGACAACAAAAGGAGATAGCAATACGAAGTAATCCGACTGCACTAGATACACTATCCGTGCTGGGTACATTGCTTTAATGAGAGAGATATTAGGCGACATCCTCTGTTCCACAGGGGCCAGCCAATTATTATGTTATGAACTCGTCTTTCAATGTCAGTGCGTGATCTCTGGAACGGTATTTTTATTAAATAAATCTAAAAGTTTAATTACACTTGAAAAAATACTTATTGTAACTATTTAATGTTTCCTAATGTATGAAAAAGGCAGAAAACACTTTACTAATAATCTCTTCTCCCCTTTTTCATAGATTCGAACCCTTTTTTCATATGTCGACCTCCATGCGGTTCCTCCTAAAATTCATCTTGTTTATTTCTTATGAACTTCGTTACGCGAGTGAGCTAAATTATGAATTATTTTTTTACGTTAGTCTGCATGTTTACACAAACAGCTGTATCAGCAGAAGTTATAACTAGATACTTATTTATTAAAATAAATTAATCAATACAATGTAAATTAATTGCCTCCTTAAGATAATTTCTCTTGAGTACTTACGAGTACATCAACATAGTTGCATTACAAAATAAAACATAGTATTTATTTGTTATAAACCAAAGGACGTATATAGTTGTATATTAGGTAGGTATCAATTACATTTGACCATGAACAAAATTACAAAATTGCACGAGCCCTAGTCAGTAACCGGTTGTATACATATCAACAAAAACTTTGTGGAATGACACTTATTATATCTAAATAAAACTAGGTAGGTAACTCTTAAAACATTATTTTTACTAGTTGTATACCTCAGCTTTGTCTTCGTCAATCAATACATAAGATATCCTATCTGCTAAATTGGAATATAACATATTCGTGTACCAAATATCATTCAAATCCGTTCGGTAGTTTTTGCGTGAAACTCTAATAAACATTCGTTCGTCTATCTATCCATCCTTAAAAACATTTGCAACTATAATATAAATAGGAAAACGACAATATATATCAAAAACATTTTTACAATTGATGGAAAGCTTTCCTCGCAAACACGGGAAGCATCTATCTACTATAGACAAGAACTAGCCTTAATCTATGACCATAGTCCAAATAACCTGTGTCGGGTTTTTAATAAGTAATTATGGGAATGGTAATCCCACCTGCGAGAGACGATAAGCAAGAATGAAGTTAGGTAAGTTGACCCGTTATGACTAATACAATGTAAATTAACGACAATGGTTTCCAAACGACTGCATGGAGCTACATTGCTAGCAATAGGACCGCTGGACTCCAATACTAACAATTTCTTTCCCACCCACGTGTGTTGGGTTTTTTTTGATGGGTGAAAATGGTATGGTAACCCCGCCTGCGCTAAAGGGATACGCTGGCGGAGCACCAGTGAAGGGTGATAGATGAGAATGAAAACAGGCGCCAGTTAGCCATCATGATGAATTCATCAGGAATTAACCACGATAGTTTCCAGGGAGAACCGCGAGGAGGTCGACCTGGTTGGGTATATTGCTAGCAATGGGATTCTCATTCTCCATTACTAACAATCCCTTTCCCCCCACCTGTGTTGGCTTAGCTGGTAATCAATATAAGGAAATTTACATTTCATAAGTAAACTGGAATATAGTCTCGGGATCCCCCGTCTGCAGTGTGGCGTTCCGACGAGCTATAAAGATCGGATGATGTCATCGGCGCGGCACAAGCGCATTTCCAATACATCACAAGGTCGCAACTCGAAGCGTTACATTGCACCTTCTTGCGATAGTTTGCTCTGATTTCCTATTAAAATGATTAAACCAATAAAAACTCTTTACAACAAAAATTGTCTACAAAAATAATCTTTTATGCAACTTAGAATGGCAAACAAGCTGACGGCCCACCTGATGGAAAGTGGTAACCGTATAGACATGAGCAGTACCATGTACACTACAGAGTATACTGTTTCGCCCATGATACCCCCCATGCGTTGCCATTTCTGAGGACTAAGGTGTTATTCCTCTATACCATGTAAACTCACTGCTATATCCCACCCTTCAAACTGAAATACGACCATGCCAGAGTAAATCACCATGCAAACACAACTGCTTCACGATAGAAACACGAACGAGACAGAGGTGCCCAAGCAAACGACTTTTGTACAAAGTCTCCCCCTGGTGGTCATAATTAATAAGTACGGTTATATTTTGGTTTACAGGGAAAATATTAATGTAATTACAGGGTACGGAAACATAACATCATGGCCTTATTTAGATCGAGTGTCTCCATAGAAAAGTTTCGAGAAAAACGGGTCAACTTTTTCATACAATTTTGCGTAATGAATAGTTATGAGTGATTCCTTTATAACTTCTATATTTATTTTGTCTTATAAATTTTGCATCTTTTTTAATGCGTAAACACTCATTTTATGAGTGAATATATAGAATACTGTTAAAAAAGAGAGCTAATTTGATAATTAGCTGACAAAAACTTGACCCGTTTTTGAGGCTTGATTCTCTATCTATATAATCCAAGATCATGACCTTCAGAAATGGCAAAGTATGAAGATTACCATCACAATGTATTCAGTGATGTCATGGTGCTGTTCGTGTTTATAGGCAACGATTACCACAATCCGTCCGGTTGACCGTCGGCTCGTTTGTCATTTTATAGTCGTATAAAAAATAGCTTAACACACTACTATCCGGCCAGCCTCATGCTTGTTTACTATTTACATAAGTCACAACTAGTTAACTACGAGTAAGTTAAATATAACATTTCAATGATTACCTTGTCATTGTCCTGTTTATTTGCAATACAAATGAGATTATAAATATTATCAATTGAACTCACTGTAACATGTCTAAAAATAGCTAGAACAAAACGCAGTATCATTGCCATCATAACTTACAAATTGCTCGTACCTCATAAGTGACAAGATCATCCTTAACTGTGTACAGTAAATACGTGCGACCTCGACTTTAGGCATGATTCAACTAAACGCAAGCTAACTGCCGTAGATAAACTGTTCAAGGTAAAGGCCGCTTCTTCGCTTCTAATCAGTCATAGGGAAACATTATTTCTAGGACAAAAGGAACGGATTTTTAGTTATAATGATTATTGCTAGCAGCATAATGGAACCATAATAAAATACGATCAAATGGTAGCTAAAAAAGTTATTTATTTATTGTTTACATATATTCAACGTATTCTACAAATAAAATTTCATAATTATTTCACGTACATTTTTTTTTATACAACTTAGAATGGCAAACAAGCTGACGGCCCACCTGATGGAAAGTGGTAACCGTCGCCTATAGACATGAGCAGTACCCTGGACATAACAGAGTATACTGTTTCGTCTATGATACCCCCCATGCGTTGCCATTCCTGAGGACTCAGATATTATTCCTCTGTACCTAGTAAATTCACGCCATATCCCACCCTTCAAACCGAAACACAGTCATGCAAACACAACTGCTTCGCGGTTGAAACACGAATGGGACAGAGGTACCCAAGCAATCGACTTTTGTACAAAGTCTCCTCATATGTTTTCATTTACTGAATACATTAAAAAAAAACATTAGGTGTATAAATAAGTTAATAAATTAATAATATAATTGTATTTTGTGTCAATCAACATGTATTATTCTCACTATGAAATATATAGCAAACTACATATAAATATACAGCAAACTTTACAAGTCATATTTTAAATACAAATACACAACCATATGAGTGAGGGGAAAGGGGTTGTTAGCAATTGAGTTTGACAGCCCTATTGCTAGCAATATGCCCTGTTAGGTCGACCTTCACGTGGTTCCAACCTGGATACCATCGTGAACAATTCTTGTTGAATTCGTCACGATGGGCTAGCTGACCTGCTTCATCCTCATCTATCATCCTTCACTGGTGCCCCGCCGGTGTATACCGATATCGCGGTTACCATTTATAGGGTATAATATAATGGGGTTACCATTCCATTATCACCCATTAAAAAAACCATGAGTGAGAAATAATAGGTTCTTTATTATTGTTATGATCAAGGTCCGATCCGGGCAATTGCCCATAAAGGCAATAATGAGGAGCGGCAAAATTGAGACTGAATGATATTCTTATAATTACTGGCATAGGCTTGCGTATTTGAAGGAAACAAATAATTTGTATTTAGAAATTGTAAGATACTATTATTATTATACATACACTAAAAAGTTTGCTACAAAAAAAAAAGCAACTTCAATCGGAACAAAATTTGTATTGAGCTAACACGTAAATCCAATTGTAAAAAAATCATCAAAATTAAGACAAAATTAGTGAAGATGTCGCGTAATATACAAAAAAAACAATCGATTTGTAAAGTTTTATTTTTTTTTTAAGTCGGTTAACAACGGGATCGTCGTGTTACAAATAAAAATAAACATAATCACAATTTGGGATACATTCGTATTAATTATTAAGTATTTCAGTTTACATTTAAAACTAGCAGTGAACACTCCAAATCTTACAACATGTAATGTAATATAATGTAATATTAGTAATATAATGTAATGTTACATATAATTCAGTTCACTGTACCATCGCCATCACCCTGTTATTATCCCGTTATTAGCGACGCATTATGTTAATTATACGGGGCCCGGTTTAGGGCATCGAGCGGGCAAAATTAATCCACTGCGTTTACTCGCAGTCGAAATGGACTTTGTCGTATGGTCCCGGCATAGAATAGGCCACTCCTTCTCTTGTCATGGGTGCCGTAAGAAGCGACTAAGGGAACTTAACTTTTCAAACATCTCCAAGGCCTAACTGCGGTTGCTAATCCGCCTGCCAAGCATGGCAACTACTGGCAAAACTCCCCAATAAAGAGAGACCTATATTCAACAGTGGACATTTAACGGCTGAAATAGTATGATAAACATGGACATTAATTATAAAAGAAGGCAAATATTTCTTTTTGCCAAGAGCGGCAATGTACCTAGATAGGACCCTGTAGGTATGGACAATATCGGTACCGCTTCGATGTCTTATTGATTTCTTTTGGACATTAATGGCGGCAAAAAGGTCATCACCCATTTTGATTTCACTCATATCAGTCGAATGAGATCATTCGATATATTCAGTTCGATCAAGTTACTTGTTTTGTATTATATATTCCATAACTGATATTTAATATATCCATTATTGGGAATATAATATACGATATTACAACTACAATATATGGATATTTCTAAACATAAAACATCCCTAGGACCCTGTTTCAAATTTTCGATTCATAACATTACAAGAATGATACAAAAATAATTTACATCGATGACTGAAAAATATTTCCAATTATTATCTTTATAATTTTGACTCTAAAAATTTATTAATTATTTATTATTTTGTTATTAATATAAAATGTAAGATATATGTATATATTATCATAGAGTAACATTCACACAAATTACATTCGCATTTATTTACTAAATTATTTCAAAATAGTAGGTAAGTATTGGTATATTACTTGTATAATAAAGTAATAAATAATGTTTATTAACAATTTGTGCGTGGTAAATGCATGGTTACTCCTTCTACTTTTCACTAAAGACTACAGGCATTTCTTGCAAAAAGCATACATACATACATACATTCCTGTCACGCCTGTCTCCCATTACGGTAGGCAGAAACAAAAAGCATGTGAAAAATATATTTCATGTTTTACAGGTTGCAGTCACAGCAACTGACGAGTTATAATTATGTTTACTACACGCTGTTTACATAAAAAAAAAAAACTAATCAGTTGCCCCTAGTTTTTCTTAAATTTCTATTCCTCTTGGTTTATATAATGGAGATCAAACAACAAACAATAGGTACACTTAATTACTCAAACAAAACTTTCTGCCATTTATGCAGAAAGAAGTAATAGTAATTAGCAGTGATTGATGAACCTCTATGCTTTTGTAAAGGGGAAAGCTGTATGCATCGCAATACTTCGCGTCTTGCACGGTATTGCAACGAAATTTCAAACCCAATATGAAAGGACAGCATTGCTTAACGCTCTCCATATGGTCCAACTGGTGGAATTAAATGGAATATTGAAAATGAACCCAAAATAAATATTATATAATCTTACATTATCAATGCTCACACCAACTTACAGCAATGACTAAACTAAACTAATATTTGAGGTAAAGCATAGATTTTCTAACGTTGCATCACATAAAAACACTGGATCAATTACAGTCATGTTTGTTATGTTTTAAAGGATAAAGTCAGACTTATAAAGTCTACAGATACCTTGCCATTCCGGAAAACTGATAGTCCGGAAATAACAAGGTAATAAGATAAGAACACGGTTTGGCGGGTCTCCTTTGAGAACGAAATATCACTGAATAGCCGTTGAAGGCTTTATTTAAAGTTAGCGTCACATTCGTCGTATCTTTAGTTTCCACATCTTTATCCCTTATTTTATATACTTTTTCCCAATCACAAATTTATATTAGTTTCCAACATGTTTTGTCATGGAACAACTATGAGAACGACAGCAAAAAAGCATATTTTATTGTATTTAATATATATACCCTTAGCAGTTTACAATTACGAAAACTATCTAAAAAACATTACCCATATTTTTCCAACCCCATTTCATTTTTCTCCTAGAATATCATTTCTTCAGAATTTCAGAAAGGGATTTTTATCCAAAATTATGGAAGAATACTCAATCTGGCAATGCTAATCCGGCCACCGATCTTTAGTCACCGAAATTATACGACTGAATGTACGCTAAATGTGACGTTAGACTAAATTACTGGATTTGATTCACATCTATCCTAATATCACTAGTACTTTGGCAAAGTGGGCGCCGGCGCTGATGGAGACGCCAATAAAGAATCATCGGCGGCTGCATAAGTACCCTCTCTCAGAGTAGTCGAGTGCCTTAGAGACATCTTCCGCTTTTCTCGAATGGCGTGTGCTAAGAAGAACGTGCAGAAGATTCCTGTGCTCTGTAACAATAGAAATATTATTTACTATCTGTATCTCGCGGTTTTTCCCACGTGAATCAACACATAAAGTATCCTACGTGCAAAGTTACTTAACCTATCCGTATACCAAATTTAATTCAAATCCGTTCAGTAGTTTTTGCTTGAAAAGTAACAAATATCCATCCATTAATTGTTACAAACTTTCGCATTTATAATATTAATAGGCTATTTATTGTATTAACGTCTCAATGCTAAATGCAAAGTGCTATTAGTAATACTTATACTGTAGTGCAAGTCTCTGCCAATAATAGGAAGATGTATATCAAATTCTAGCCTAAGCCTATATATTTACAAATTCAAGTTTGAATAATTTAATTCGCTTCGTGCATCGGAGAGCACGTAAAATCGTCGTCCAGTAAACCGTGTCAAAGGCCTTCGTATAGAACGAAGGTAACTTAAACGTAGTAGTCTATGACATTTTCAAACGCTCCACTGTATGATTAGGTCGGAAATTTTGATTCAACACTTGGCCGCCAAACGAAGGCCCATAAAAGGGCTGGAATTGTTATTATAAATTGTAATTACTGCAATTTGTGTTATCATTGTTGGTTTTGATTGCTAACATGCAATTAGAGTGTTGTTGCCATTTAAATTATTATTTACTATAAGTTTCCTGGTATATAAACTAATTAACTGAGGCTATTGGTTTTATTCAAATTCCGTCGCAGCGAACAAAATGCTTTATGTTACCACTGAAACTGTATTTACTGGAATTTTGGTTTCGAATTCGTTAAAGTATTCTCCAAATAAGCTATTTCCGTTTAACCGTTTTTTTTTAATGGATAATAATGAAATAGTTATACCCGCCTGTATTATCGACATATACTAGCGGGACTCCAGTCGATAGGTGAACTTTTTTTTATTCCTTAAGGGCTCAAAACTTTTCTCCTATCGTATCCTGAACTGTTTTCTCAGATAACGTTTTATTTACTTTGCTTATTTACGGAAAGAAAGGAATTAATGAGCATCAATAATTTACAGAGATCTTAAAAATTTTCTGATTTAGATTCAGCCAATATAGATTGAATAAGATCATTAATTCATTTAATTAGGAGACAAATGGTGCATAATTTATTCTCTTTCCATTGAGTTTATACGATACTCTAAAAATATATATTGCACATTATCAATGGTATCGCAAATTTGAAAATGGGGTAACCAGACCTTCCCATCAGATTTTGATGGATAATGTACGGAACGAAGTAGCCCATGTCTCCAACATATGGCACCTCGAGGGTATATCACCTGGTTTTTGGTGGGACACCCCCGCCTTACGGGGGGATTCCCGCAGTACCCATTCATCTCCCACAAGGTGTATGGGTCTATAAATAAAGCATAAAGCATTTTCCAGATATTAAATAAAAAGGTCAATCCACCCACCGCCACGAATTCCAAAAGAATTAATCATTATTTTATCTAATTGGTGATGGTTTCCAGGGGAACCGCGTGAATATCGACCTAATAAGGTATATTGCTAACGATGGGACTGTTAGATTAAATTGCTAACAATTCCTTTCCTCTCTATCCGAATTATTGCAAATATAAAATTAAGAATTATTATCATGGCCAATTCTAATCTCACTTTTCTGCGCACATTTAGCAAATCATCATTCATAGACAAGAAAGGTATAGAAAAAAAAAAAACCACTCGCGCTAAATACCAAGTTTATCAACAATCTAAATTTATGGTCGTTGACCATAGCTAGTTCCTGTGCCCATTGCTTGGCCATAATTTGTGACCCACCACGCCTCCTCTTTTGTATGAAGCAGAGTTTTTGTAAGGGTCATTAAATAGTTTTGATAGGTCTGGCCACAGTGATGTGTAAGTTGGTTTTACTTTCTAAAGTTGCGTAATGCAAACAGTTAGGATCGAGTTGATAAGTATACACTATTAGCTATTTGAATAAGCTTCAAAGTACGCTTTTGATTAGTACACTCTAAAATAAAGGGCGGAGCAAACTAAAGATATTGCCAGAGGGAGACTTTGTACAAAAGTCAATTGCTTGGGTACCTCTGTCCCATTCGTGTTTCAACCGCGAAAGCAGTTGTGTTTACATGGCTGTGTTTCGGTTTGAAGGGTGGGATATGGCGTGAATTTACTGGGTACAGAGGAAGAACACCCGAGTCCTCAGGAATGGCAACGTATGGGGGGGGGGGGGGGGGTATCATAGGCGAAACAGTATACTCTGTTATGTCCATGGTACTGCTCATGTCTATAGGCGACGGTTACCACTTTCCATCAAGTGGGCCGTCAGCTTGTTTGCCATTCTAAGTTGTATAAAAATAAATATTGAAGTATATAGTCATTTATCTGACGGCCAGATCAGACATTAATGAATAACAGTCACACGCATTGTGGGTTATTTTCTATGCAACCCAACTGTTCCATTTTGAAATTTGCATGGAATCATTCTGATTTCTGATTTACTGCAAGATTTTCGACAAAGAAAAATTATACAAATCGATTAGGAAATACGAACGACGTCAGACTAAAACATTGTACTTTTATAATATTAGTAAGGATTATATGGATTATTTTGATAAATTTTAGAAAATATAACAACGATATTGTTGTTTTAGCTTAGTAACATAAAACAATTTAACATAACAGCAGCAGCTGGCTATCTAATTATAATTCACAATTGGTTTTTACGGTGCCTGTTCTATTTCAAACACAATAAATATAATCTTGCATAATTGTAGTAAAAAACTGTTAAAAAAAAGCTATTATCTATATATATATATATATATATATATATATATATATATATATATATATATATATATATATATATATATATATATATATATATATATAATAATTAAGTAAGATCATAATAACGGTAGAGGAAGATCGGATAGGTCTAATTCTTTTCATGGACCTTTTATGGATTTTTTTTTTATACCACTGAGGTGGCAAACAAGCATACGGCCCACCTGATGGTAAGCGGTCACCGTAGCCTATGAACGCCTACAATACCAGAGGTATTACGCGCGCGTTGCCGACCCTGAAGAAACCTCTTTACCACCCTTTTGAAGAACCCCATGCTGTAGTCTCTTGGGAAAACCTCGGCAGGGAGCTCATTCCACAACCTGAGTGTTCGTGGGAGGAAACATCTCATTACTTATATATTTACCAGCAGACTGAAACACAAATACTCTACTATATGTCAGCATTATAATCAAATAATAGTTCTACGAAATACCTAAAAATGTTTTTCTTGTCTTGTCATGAGCAGAGCATTTAAAAATAGATGTTACGTACGTATGTACCGGATTTTAGTATTATAATAGCAATTTTTACACTAGTTTGATAATGACTCTCAGCTATTAAGAGGTAATGAGTGTACTTTAACTGTTCATAATGTAGGGAAAGAACTAATACAAGTGAGTTTAAGAGTTGCGCTAATTAATATAATTGTTGATGTTCATGACCGAGTGCTTTGAACTTTTAGTTTTTGTAAATAAGAAGATCTCTTGTCGTCATTTCAGACCCTGGTATCGATTCTGTGGCAGAATTTTCTAAAATTGACTTTAAAATTACAATTTTAATTTGATAGTTTAGCAAAACTCCCAGACATAAAACTAATTTAGGATTGCATGCCCCTATCTCGAGGTTAATCAATACGTACAATTCCTGTAACGAGTCCCTGAATCTTGATATTTTTTTTGATGGGTAAAAAAAAAAATGGTATGGTAACCCCGCCTGCGCTAACGGGATTCGCTGGCGGAGCACCAGTGAAGGGTGATAGATTAGAATGAAAACAGGCCAGTTAGCACCTCATGATGAATTCATCAGGAATTAACCATGATAGTTTCTAGGGAGAACCGCAAGGAGGTCGACCTGGTTATATATTGCTAGCAATGGGATTCTCAGTCTCCATTACTAACAATCCCTTTCTCCCCTCTTGATATATTTCACAACCATCCCAAGTCATTCAAGAATAAAATTCTAAAAATCCTCCCATAATGCTTATCATAATTTTCATAACTAATAATTCTGATTCTGTGTACACTGTTTTAATTATTCTTTGTTTTAAGTATTCTTGTATTATCACTTATATGTTTTTCTTATTGTTTTGTTGATGTTCTTTATCATCATTAATGTGTAATCGATCTTTGTGTAAATGTTGTGTGAATTTGTAATTGGTGTAAATGCAAGTTGCAAGCCCTGTACATCAATTAAAATAAATGTCTGGGTTTGCACTGTTGATATACCTTTATGTTTAAATATGAGAGATCTTATCTCTCATATTATCATTGTTTTATTATATATTTTTAATATCTATTATTTTATCTATTTATACAACTTAACAAATAGATATCAAAACAATATTATTTTAGAATATTTAGATAAATGTTCGTATGTTTGTTCTGGTATCACGCAAAAACTACTACACCAAATTGGACGTGGTTTATTGTATTCCTGAAGGTCTAACTTATGGTATATGTACATCTGATGTATGTTTTATCTTTTGAATTTATTAGATTAAAAACCAGAAGGAGACTTTGTACAAAAGTCGATTGCTTGGGTACCTCTGTCCCATTCGTAATTCAACCATGAAGCAGTTGTGTTTGCATGGCTATGTTTTGGTTTGAATAGTAAGGATATAGCAGTGAATTTACAGGGTACAGAGGAATAACACCTGCGACCTCAGGAATGGCAACGCATGGGGGGTATCATGGGCGAAACAGTATACTCTGTTATGTCCATGGTACTGCTCATGTCTATAGGCGACGGTTACCACTTTCCATCAGGTGGATCGTTAGCTTGTTTACCATTCCAAATAGTATGAAAAACATATATAATTAAATATTTCCATCTCTATAGTTCACGGACAGATGTAAAGTTTCCTCATATGTGTAACTCTGAAAAAACCCTGTCACCTACAATATGCTACACATATATTTTAAATGCACAATCGGGACTTAACGCGATGTAAAAGCTGTACCAGCTTCTTTATTGTCGACGTTAATACTACACATACACAATATTTCAGTTAAAAGTTATGTGGATACGCAGAACAGGAGCTAAACTCTAATTTTATTAACTGTACTCATAAAACTTATGGTTTTGCTCCGCAAAACAAAACTGATGTGATCACATGATAATGTTTTCAATAATAATAACAGTGACCTCTCTAGAGTAAACCGTATGAACTGTAAAAAAGATTATTAAAGCCGGTTTAGAATTAGCAAAAATATATAGTATAGTTTAAGCATCTTTTTTTAAAAACCCCTAAAAACAACAGCTCTCCACAGCTATATCTCTCTAAATTAAAATTGAAGAATAAAAAATCATGCATACTCGCATGTATGTAAAAATAAAGTATAAAAAGTCCTTATTTTCCTTTTCTGAGGGCAAAGTAATAAACTGAGTTGTGACCATTTTATGTTATTGTGACACACTCACGAAAGGGAAAATTATATTTTTTCTTTTATGTTTTTTTTATTTATACATGTATTGTTTATCTCTATTTTTTGTGTGTTTTATTTAAGTGTTTTTAGTGTAATATATATGTATGTCTGTTGTTATTTGTGTATTGTAAGTAATGCATATAAATTACATATCTATCTTAGTTTATAATTTAACACCATTTAAAATATCTCATTTAAAGAGTCAAGGACAACATTGGATGAACATAGCCACTCTTCAATATAAATTAATTTGAAATATTAATTACGTAGATGTTATTTTAAATCCCTAATGGTACCAATACGCCCTGTGGCCTTCCATCTACGTGACACAAGTAGTTTAATTAAAATTCAACTGACAAAACATTGTTGCATTGTTGTATGTAGTGTGGAGGTCAACATGACTAATGGGGATTAAAAATAACGTCATATATTAATTTAATACAGTAAATACAATAATACACTGGTGTAATAATAATTAATAATAAATGTATAACACACTTATGCATCTAATTTATATGTATGTATGTGTAATCTTTAATTCAAGCCAACATTGTTTTACTGCTATAAAAATTTTCCTATATAAGAAATAAATAACCTTCTATTACAAAGTCGGTCATATGGTCGTTTATTGTACTTTAATTCGAGTTTACCTACTCTTTTTTCTTGTGCCTTGTACTTTTTCCACAATATCCCGGAAATAAAAAGATGTACGAATTACAGTAAAATGCCTATCAGGTCGACTTCCAGATGATTTCTCCTAGAAAATAACGTGAATTTGTTACGATGAGCCACCTAACCTGCTTTATCCTCACCTATCATGTCCCACCGGTGCCCTATCAGCGTATACCGATAGCATAGGCTGAATTACTAGTTCCATTATCATCCATTGATAAAAATACAGGGGCAATAATCTGTTCAAATATATAAATAAATAAACTAAATCAAACAAAATAAATAGAAATAATATTACAAATCTACTATTTCTTCTTAATATTTCTATTGGAATACTCTAACATTATCGCCATACAGAATATTTGATATAAGAGGCATAATACATGTCCCATTCCTTCAAGACTGGAAAAGCACGTGTGAAGCCAAAGGCTGTTCTGAGGAATTATTTGAAATGATACCCACAGCCACATTTTATCATCACACCACTAGCCATCGACAGGGAATTCATCCTCTCATGTTTGTACCTAAATGGTCACGTAGGTACAGTGCGATTTTAAAGAAATTTTCTTCAACGAACGCTCAAGCTGTGGAACGAGCTCCCTGCGGAGGTTTCCCCTAAAGACTACAGTATGGGATTTTCCAAAAAGGGCATATTAAGGTTTCTCCAGGGGCGGCAACGCGCACGTGACACTCTTAGTGTTTTTTTTTAATGGGTGATGATGGAATAGTAAACCCGCCTACGCTATCGGTATACATTGGCGGGGCACCAGTGAGTGATGATAGGTGAGGATGAAAGGACAGGACAGAAAAGACAGTTAGCCCATCGTGATGAATACACTTGGGGTTCAGCATGATGGTTTCCAGGAGGGACCACGTGGAAGTCGACCTAGTTGGGTATATTGCTAGCAATGGGGTCCTTAGTCTCCATTATTAACAATTAACCCCCCCAACCCTTAGTGTTGTAGACGTCCATAGGCTGTATGACTGTATGTCACTTTCGTCGTATAAAAAATAGGCATAAGCAACACTTATCTGATATCGACCATAAATTAAAATATAAAAATTGGACCATATCCGTTTGGATATAACCGAATTTTTTAACAACTTATCTGGCCAAATAAGATGGTGTCCGCACCGCAACGTTCTTATCAGACTTGTACTATGACTCGTGCGCGTACATGCGTGACGGACAATGACATAAGCAGTGAGCTGAACGTTGTTGTATCTTACTCAAAGATCTGGCTAAACTAGCTAACATGATCAACATTTTGAGTTTCACTCATGGTAGACTCGACAGGCAGATATACAGTTTTCTTAATTTTTATAGTAATTGAATTAATATTCATGTTCATATTATTAATAAATATTATTAATATAATAAGCAAACTGAAGTGGCAATGGGACGGTCATTGATTCGAAGAACCGACAACCAATGAGGAAGAAAGTTTCTTAAGTGGCAATCCCATACAGGCAAACGCAGTGTAAGACGACTCCCGCTAGATGAAGCGACGATCTCAAATACATTGCAGGGAGGTAGTATCCTGAGCCAAATGTTTCTTATGGCGGTCTTTTGAGGATGCTTACATTCAGCAGTGGACAGTTAACGGCTGATATTATGACGACAAATAAACATTTCTGTTTACGAAAACAAAAGCAGAAAACAAAAATTCAGCAATGACTTAAAGGAAAAATCAGAAATATACATATAGATAAAATTTTTAACGTTACTCAGAAGAAAATGCTCGATCACTCTTTAAATCCGATTATTTTATACTATTGGACGCACCTTATGCTTTAGCCTTCCCCTATCCCCCATCCCATTTCGTATCCATAAGTAAAGTTATTGCATAACGCTCATGAAGTTTTTTGAAATTAAATCCGCTTATAAGCATACTTTTCCATGATTTCTTACTTGGCAATGAATATATATTTAGATACCGAACAAGAGTAGAAAACCACATGTACACCATATAGACATCATCATCATCATATCAGCCGTAAACTATCCACTGCTTAACATAGGCATTCCCTCATAAGGGGGTTTTTGCCAATAGTTACCACGTTTGACAAGCAAATTGGCAAAAGCAGTACACTTTTACGATGTTTTACTTGAGACGCTGCTGCCCATCCCTCGACATTAAGTAAAACCATATAGACATGTGGGTGTCGTAAGAGGCACTTAATCCAGGAATGGGCAACAGCGTCCCTCTTTAAGAATCACCGAAACCTAAATGTAGTTTCCTTCCCGCTTACCAAGCGTGGAACTACTGACAAAACCCCTCAATAGAGGCGGCTTAAGTTCAACAGTGGACAATTTATGGCTGATATGGATAGATATATCAGCCTGTAGCAAGATCCTTTCATAACAATTGGTATTGCAACTCAGTTGCCACTGTCATTCAGGGGTCTATTCAACAAACCTGCAATATAGACGCAGTTAGCGCTGTCATCGCTACAAGCAGTAACTGCTGTCTCGTGTAATCGTGCACCGGCTTCCCGCAGCCGCGCTGGTACAGCGCTGAACAGTCAGACGTGTACGGCTTGTGAAGTTCATCCAACGGACCTTGGCCACAGCATGAAAGGGGCACGCGACCTGACGACGTATAGTCATTTGGACCGTTCACACCGCAGCATTCGAACTGAAAATTAAGACATTTAATTTATTACAAAATATACCTGAGCCAGTAGAAAGTACTGTCTAATCTAATGTCCACTGCTGAACATAATCCTTTTCCAGAAATGGAGTTTTACTAGTAGTTGCCCAGTTTAATATAAATATTTAAAAATAAAAAACATTCAATAGTCAATTTTCATTGAGTTTTCAAAGCCTTAAGCGAGTAGAAGTATTGGTCTTAGAAGCATGGAGTATATAGGTAAATTTCCTATGGAAAAGCTTACGACGATAGGCTCATGTGCCAGCTTCATACTATCTTTATAATACATATTAAATAAATAGTCCAATATTTTATATGTAGAATATTTTTGTTCAATCCAGTATCAGAACTCAATTCGGTTTGGGTTCAAATCTACGGGAACTCCAACTCCATTCGAACTCCAACCAAGAATAGAAATCATTGGCAATCTTCGAAGGGAATGTTCTACCAGCCACACTGAACACTTTCACCAAAAAATACCATGGGTCGATTAAAGACAAAAAAATTAAATCTCTCTCCCACACAAATATGAGGCATTTAGCTGCACTGCAATGAAAACAGCATAGAAACTGTTGCAATCAGAGAGCGAAACCTTCAAACTTATTCTTTATACCGTTACCACGTATATAGTATTACTCCATGGTAACAATGAGTAAAACATTTGGTACTTACATTTACATTACAGAGTCATACAAGTCATCATAATTCTACAGTGATAGAGTATTTATTTAATCTTTGTTCTACTATAAACATAATAAATATACAATTGGCAAACTTAATGCCTTACGGAATTCACTACCAACGAGCATTTAGAAAAAGAGAAAGCGACTGATGGTCATTGATAAAAAAAAAAGGAAAGTACATAGTATTCAATACTCTATCTACATATATTTTTATATATGTAGATTTTTTTTATACAACGTGAATTTACTAGGTACAGAGGAATAACACCCGAGTCCTCAGGAATGGCAACGCGTGGGGTGTATCATAGGCGAAACAGTATACTCTATTATGTCCATGGTACTGCTTATAATATAAGCGACGGTTACCACTTTCCATCAGGTGAGCTGTCAGTTTGTTTGGCATTCTAAGTTGGATAAAAATGTAGATAATGAGAAGAACAATACCCTATCACTAGTAAAATTACTACGGTAACTTAATCCTACTTTGAATATATAGATATAAACGTACCCTGACATGTATCCTATCCCATCTGATCGCATCAGCCGAGTTCGGATCCTTCGCCGCTGCAGTTTGCGCGAAATAGCTCGTCATGGTAGTTTTGATATCTATTTCGGTGTTGTCCCAAACTACCATTGCCCACACAAAGCAGGAGAATTCTATTACCACCACGATGATTATGAGCAGACCAGTCTGAAAATTGAAACGAAATGACGTTGGTAAAGTCGGATTTTAAATATTTTTTTTCGAAGTTATTTAAAGATTTAAATTATTAGCAGGTTGAACTTAAATTTTTAACTTGAATTTAAATTAATGGTAGTATACCTGCCGATAACTTGATTAAATGGTATTCGAATTCACATCTCTTTACTATCCAAGTTAAATGTATTCTTAATTACAAGTACAAAAAGAATAGGCATTCTTTCTATTAATCTTATTATTCTTATTCTTATTATTTTTCTATTAATGGATAAAATACTATAATAATATTATAAAGAGGAAAGATTTTATTGTTTGTTCGTAATGGATAAACTCAAAAATTTTAAAATTGATTTTAAAAATGCATTCTCCTATAGAAAGCTACATTATAAGCAAGTAACATAGGCTATATATTATTTAAAAAAATGTAAAGTAAAATAAAAAAATAAAAAAAAATTACAATAATGTAACAAAAGATATTAGAAATATGTCTATAAAATGTAATATAAAATACTAATTAATCTTTCTATTTATCTAAAACCGAATCCGGGGCAGATCGCAAGTTTTTAATAACTAAATAATTATTGATAACTGATTAATGTTTTTTGACTATTTTTAATGACTTCTGGTTTTTTGATTGACGGGTTACGCCTCAAATTAACAATGTCTAGTTTTTCCTACTTTAATCAAACATTAACTGTTCTTTTATTATTTAATTACAACCTACAATTTGTTGATATACGTGAGAATAGATGCTGGGAAAAAGTTTTTACACATATACAAAAATTATAAGATTAAAAAGAAAAACAAAATACGTAATTACGACAAAGTTATAAATTATTTACGTCATCGTAGTTTCAATAGAACAATGACGAAATATCCAAATTTGTTTCCTTTTCACAGTTCAAAAACACTTACAATCATTTCTGAGAAACAAAATATATAAAACAATGATAACAGGCACAATGATTCGGGGCGTACAGACGTGTTAGTCATTCTTATGACCACTCAAGGGAATTGTATGAATACCAAGCAAGGTTGTATTTCTTCATAAAGCAAGTATGATTACGTAAAAAATTATAATTAAAATTTATTCGCTAGTAATAATTTAACAATATAAATAAGTGTAATTTTAATTTCAAATGCTTTATGGAACCAATCTTAGGAACCCATATTGCAAAGAATGATGCTATGATTAAAAAAAATTAAAAGTCGATTTAGTTTTTTTTCTTATCCAGAATTAGCAAAGACATCGTGTAATATATATATACAAAAAGAATATGAATGCTGAAAACCTAGTAGTTTTTTTTTTTTTTAATTAATAGTCTTTTATAAGCAGCGTTGCAAAGACAATGATTGTATCGGATCATCTCTGTGATATAAAATTCATTATCGGCGACTACGATAGGTAGATAACTAATTAATATTTTTTTTTTTTTACTTCAAAATAATCGCTAAAAGTTTTTTTTTTTATTAATGTAATTAATTGTAAAAATAATGATTAATTTATAATAATAATATCTTTATAAACATCGATAGTAAAATTATCAAAATAATTCATACTTTGTCAGTGATATTAATAACTGATTTTATTATTATTTAATTATACTGATTTTCCTCTTCCAAATTCAAATAATATGAAAATAGCATATCTCCATAGATTATAGCTAATTAAATAGATACTTACTATTATAACGTGGATTTGATGCATCGATTTGGTCGTCCTCCAGCCTATCCAAGCTATAGAACATGTAATGATGGCCATCATAAGGAGCAATATAGAAGGATATTCCACATTCACTCCTATAAAGTGACGATATAGGAAAAGCCGGTACAGTAGAAAGCCGCTGACTCCAAACAGTACAACTGCTGACATCTGTTGGAAAAACAACGCAACTTTAAGAGAAAAGTATTGATTAACCGACCAGATGAAAATGCGCTCGAATTTTTACGTTTTCCAAACAAGAAAATGTCATTCTCTCATTCTTTCCTATTATAATAACCTATATAGCTACAAGCACAGTCAACTTTTTATGTGTGGTCATCTAAAATTTATTTCTTTATACTTGAACGTTCAATGCACTCGTTTTTTAGAAACCTGTGATCATTACAATGTAACTAATAATCAAATTAGTTTAATCACTAAAAAATATCTTTAACATTGATAAATTAATAAAAAAAATAATCACTTTAATTTTATATTCCGCGGGAAAGTGTTATGAAAGAGTTGTTATGACAACGGAGTTGGGACGCGATCAAAATATATTTGAAACAGAGAAAGTATACTCACTGCGAATAAAACATTGAATGTTAACACTATATATTTCCAGCAATTCGACGATATGGCCATTGTTGCGTTGTTCCGTGCTCACATATCCGTGTTCTTGTTAGAAACGAGAATCAAAACAAAGGAACGGGCTGTGGTCGCTGCTCACTCGTTGGGTTCCACTACAGAGAATGTTTTGTGTGTATGTCGTCTCGTTCGACCGCGTAAGTCTTCGACACGGTGATGCAATGTAACAATCGCGGCACAAAATTAAACATTCGGCATATAATTTTATCTATAGATGAGCCTACAGTTTATCGCTTATCTTTGTTTTTAAGAAATGACTCAATTTCATAAGTACCAATGGTCAGGTGTTACGAACAAGATATTTATATATAATTGGCTAAAATGTATTGTTTCGTTCTTGATATTATCAGCTTATCAACATTATCATTGACTGTGTTCTATGTTGATATACATTATATATATAGTTACGATGTAAAACAATCTAACCTACTTATGATTAGCAATGTACTGTGAGTACTATCCTCTGATGCACTGAACATGTGTGGTATATTTATAGGACGGTGACACTTCTATTTTTGTGGTACAGGTTCGCTTCGTTATTGGTTCTTAGCAACTAAATACTAAGCTAAAACTAAAACACACTCAAGAATAGCTTGAAAAAAAAAATATTACATACATACATACATACCTATCTGTCACGCCTGTCTCCCATTAGGGTAGGCAGAAACAATGGAACGCCAAATGCTTTAAAAAAAATTATTCTATTTTAATAAATTCAATCTTGGCATTACCATCATTTCCGTATAGTGAATTTACATGTTTTATTATTACTATAGTTTGTTCAATGACACTAAACGAATAAACAACCAAGGTTTTTTTTGAAATTGTCACAGAAACCCTCTTTATATTAAATTAGTTGACAAACTGAAACATTCAATCATTAATCAATTTTGACTTGTACTGTTATTGAACATCAGTGAACTGTTTCGTCCTTGTAATATTTTCTCCATGTCGTCCCGCCATAGAATGGACCACCTCTTTCTTTCCCATGGGTGTCGTAAAAGGCGATTAAAGAAACTTAATGGTCGAGGAATAGGCAGCAACGTTCGTATTAAAACATCACCAAAGCCTAACTACAATTGCCTACCCGCCTGCCAAGCGTGGCAACTACTGGCAAAACCCCCTTACAGGGAAGACTTATGTTCAACAGTAGATAGTGTGTTTTAGGGTCAGGTCAATTTCTCATTTATTCACATTTTTATTGAGTTCTATTGAAACCACCATATCGCTTGTTTGCCATTCTAAGTTGTATAAAAAAAAAAATAGCAAAAAAAAGCATTCCACCACTGATTCTCTTATGATTCAAGTAAAAGCATTATTTATCTTAAATATATGGATCTTATTCTAGGCTGCAAGAATATCTAGGTCACTTATTTACTATATACTATTCTAGCAATCCGGTTTTTCTTCGCACAGGTATATATAATTTTCGAAATAATCTACAACCTATATTACTTGCCATAATGTAACTCTATAGGTGAAAGAATTTTAATTTGTTGAGTAGTTTTTAAGTTGTATCTATTACGAATAAACAAACGGCTACCTTCAGGGAGTTTACCCCATACCTTTGAGTCTAGATGGTCGCATATAGCGCGGATTCAGAGATGTTTCCTTCCACAAACGCTCAAATTCATTACTTTCTACATTGGTTATTAAAATTACCCCTAATATCGTTTATTCATTACCTCTCATGTATAAAAATCGACTAGTTACATTTTTATTATATTATTAAGATTAATAAGATAAAATAATATGTTTTTTAAACTTAAATTTATTACATTTTTATGTGTATGCCTGACGAAGATGTGATAAGGATTGATACATTTTACTCTGTTGCTAATATTATCTGGCTGAGGGAATGAAACCAGATAATGTTATATTTGTACAATAAATAAACAATTAATACATGGGAAAGCCCAGTGGCATTAAATTTTATACAAAATTTCCTGAAATGAACCAGGTATTTCTTTTCTACCGTTCAACAGGCTAATAAATAATTACTAAGTCAATGCTATTCAAATTAATTAAAAAAAATCTTTATTTAAAAGAAATTCATTTCAAATTAATAATATTCACAGAAACATACATTTTTTACTAGCAAATCTGGCAAAGTTTCTAATTTAACAATCTTCATAACTTTATTAACTTCTTCTTGTATATCTGAACTGAGTGGGCCTACTTGTTTCGCTGTCCGTAACATGGTCTTCGCTTTATCCAAATTTCTTTGGTACATTGCTAATAAAGCCAAAACTGCCCAACCATCAGCTAGCAATGGTTCAAATTTGACAGCGGCTGAAGCCCAGCGTTCTGATAAACTTTCTTCACCAAGTTTCATATAAATTCGACTTATAATCAATGCTGAATGAGCACTCGGAGCTATTTTATGAGCGCGAGCAGCTCGTTGGAGTGATGTTTCAAGATTCGTCTTGAACATTCCAACAGATGCTCGTAAAAGAACAGCGGGACACTGCTCTCCGCCTGCTTTTTCTGTCTCATTTAACGCGCTTTCACATTCATCATCCCAACCTCGTATACAAGTTAAACATGAAAGATGTATCTGGGACATAATAGCGCTAGGACCGAATCTTTTCACTCCTTCTTTTATTACCTCTAGTGCCTCCTTTAGTTCACGTCTTAAAAGAAGAGAAGCCGCTCGTATATAGTACAGATCAGGGGTAATTTTTGTTGTCAGTCCAAGTCGAGAGCCCCGTGTCGCACAACCTAACTCAAAACACTGCAAAATCTGTTCGCTGAATGCAAAGCAACGTAAACAAAGAAAAAAAGCTGCTGCAACCAGCAGAGAATTATGTGATGCTACCACGGCTGGTATCCAGAAAACTTCTTTTTCTCCGCTAATTTCTAGCCACTGCTGGAGAAATACCTTCCATTCTTTTGGCAGCTCATATGATTTCCTCATTTTCTTTATAGCTACAAAAGCAGCATAGGGATTTTCATTGAAATGATATAAGGCGTGTAATGCTGCCCATCCAATAGCATTTGTGATGCCTTCAGAATAATCACCTTTTACAGCAATTCTAAAAGCTGCAGCCGCAATATCAGCGGCCTCAGGACCTTTAGCAAATTCCTGAGCTCCGAAGATCCATAATAAGAATCGATTTCTTGGTTGACTACTTAAAGCTTCGAGAATATAATTTCGAGCATCTGTGTCATTTCTTTCCTCTAAACACCTTAGAGCCTTTGAAAGTAAAGACCTGGGGTGAGATCTAACTACTTTTAAACTATTTTCTAAGTGTTTACCTGCAATTCTGCTATCACCTGCTAATCGACATCTTGCTGCAGCTACACGCGCAGGAAGTCGCAACGGAAGAGACTTCGGCGCAAATGATGATGTCACGGCACGTCTACATGCGGCGTGTTGACCTGTCACTATATCTTGCCAGTCAATATATGAACAGTCCCCTGGAGGAAATTGTTTAAGCATTGCTCTTACTCGCATCAATAGACGATTAGCTGCGGTCCTTTTAATACCTTGGTTCATGGATACTGCACTTTTACATGCTAAGTCGCTTAATTCTTTATGAACGGCTAATGCACCGCATTCATTACGTACTCGTCTTACATCGACCACAGTATCTTCAGGTAATGAATTCGATTCTAACTCATTAACAGGTACTGAAGAACCTTCGAGAGATGGAAACCCAATTGTTTCGAATAGACATGCAATTTTGGAATTTGGTGTAAGCGGTTCTGTTAAGTCAAATCTAAGAACAATATACGCGTTATGGCCAAATACATCAGTAACAATATCTGTTTCACGAACACTAACTTTGGCACTAGTGGGCGGTAATTCTAATAATGGACGAACATTGCCTGGAAGATTATTTTCATTAAAAAATAGTAATTTAGCACTAACTGTAACACCGTATTGACCTGGTTCTAGTAATACTCCTGCGTCAATAAACCCCATATAGCGACCACGAACATCTACTTTCCCAAAACGAGGTACGCCAGCTATTTCAAAGAGAAATGGCGTAGATAATCTCTGGCGTAACAGGGAAGGATTTACAAGAACGCGTTTCATAGCATTCCAATAAACAGAATTGCATTGTTCGTTATTCAACAACTTCAAATCAGAAGGAATAAATTTATCTTCATTTGGAACATTAATAACCGTATTGGCTGCTTGACCGCTATTGCTTGATGATGCCCACATGATTTTCGTAGCAGCAGAATTGCTCAAAGACATGCCAAAATTAACAGCTAATTGATCTAAAATGCCATCTAAACTAATAGCTGATACATAAACAGTACCTTCACTAGCTGGAGGAAGACAATGTGCAGATATCATCGTAAGCATCAACGGAACTTTTGAAATATTTTCTACAGTACCTTTAGCCCTTAGATGAACTTGAACTTTGCAACTTGTATTTAGTCCTGATGTTATACAAGCCATTGATACAGTAATGAATATTTCTTTCTCTCCTAACATCAAAGGAAACAAATCCACTGTAGCTCCTGCTCGGTTGTCTAAATTTAACAAAGGATCTGGATCTTTACCTCCCTTCCCACTAGCAGTACGAAGCAAAAGAATAAGAGGTTTGTCCGCACCATCTGTTGAAAATAAGGATCTTTAAGATCTATAAAATTACTATCCGTTTCAAAAACTAATCCGTCGCCCCATTTTCCATCTAAAACAGTATGACCATCATATATTGCTAGGAAAGACCAATCTCCTGGACCTGGACCATCTCCTTTCAAAGTTAAAGTGAGGCTGACACTTTTAGGAGAAGCGTAAAAATCTTCAGACTTTTTATATATACTTGACAAATTTTCTAATGTCGTTGGTGTCTTGTGGCTTTTTTTTATATCTTTAAGAGGCATTTTTCTGTTTAATCAATTACAAAATTGATCTATTTAAACACAATTATAGGTACCAGGTATAATAAGCACATTAGCGTTGTCAATTTAACGTGATCATAAAATAAGAATAGTTCCCCCTCCACCCCTCCCCCATGTGAATCCTTAACAGCATAGATTAAAGATAGTATCTTAATAATAGCATATATATCTGTAATAACAGTAGTTAAATATCAACAACGGTGCTGCCTCTGCAGAGTAATTTAAAAACTAAACTTACTATTCTGAATTAGTTTTAACTTTTATTGAGATTAACTCTATTTATTACAGATAAATGCATTATTAGTCCATCTGAAATTACGTCTAATACCAATAAAAATGCAATATTGACACGTAATTAAAATATTTTCCTCATTTACTCCATAGAATAAGAATAGAACTCTTTTATAACTGTATGGTGTAGTTCCTTCGCCTTTCCCCTTTTTGCTACGTAGAACGAAACATAACATGACGTTGACATTATTTGACAATATTTGGCGCATAGCTGTTGTTCTTGTTTTGAAAATTAATCTAATTGTAATTTGTTGAAAAAGTTCTTTAAAAACATGCTCTAAAATGTATACTTTACTTCATGGTTTTTACAAATATTTGATTCAGAAAGATGAATATTGTGTATTAATTCTAGGACTTGACAATGCAGGCAAAACGGTGAAAATATTCTTTGTAAACATGTTGATGACCAAATTACAATACAATATTTATGCATTAAAAAAATAAGTTCAATGTCTAAATTTCAGACTTATTTGGAGGCGGCGAAAACAAAATTTACAAAGAAATATAAGGCGATGAACCCTAATAGAATAACTACGACCGTTGGACTTAATATAGGCAAAATAGATGTTGACGGAGTCTTACTAAATTTCTGGGATCTAGGTGGACAACAAGAGCTGCAATCACTGTGGGACAAAGTAGAGTATACAAAATAAAAATCATCGTCAGAATTTTGATCGTATCTTGAAGACAACATTATTTCCTTGTAGATAAAAGTCAGCTAATAGTATTCTACCGTCTACCCATTAACATCTCAGTACTTACCACCTATTCCTTATAAAAGGAAGATATTATGTGAAGCAAAATAAAAGATAGCCTATGTTTTAATCTACAATATACTGTATATAGTAAATTTCATTAAAAATAACCATTTGAGAATCATTGTATTAACTTTTTTGCAAATTTTTATGATACTAGTAGTATGAGAATGTAAATATTTGTAAAAAAAAAAAGTGTATATTTGTTACTCAAGTACTTTTACAGAGCTTATCAGATTAATTTCGGATTATTACGCATAAAGACTATATTCTGTATTAAAGGGTTTTATCTATCTTAATTTACTTGAGTAGACTTTCAGTCTACTAGTATTTTATACTTTTTTTATAACCCAAAAGTGGTAAACAAGCCAATATAACCTGTCTAATAGTAAAAAGTCACTATAACCTAAAGAAGTCTGCAACATCAGCTATATCACATGCTCATTGTTAACCATCAATAAACCTTAATAACCACATTAAGGTCTAAATCCACCAAGACTCGGATCCCATTGATATGGTAATGAAATTACAGAGTACAGTTGTATAACATTTTTTTATACAACTTAAAATGGCAAACAAACTGACAGCCCACCTGATGGAAAGTGGTCACCTTTAGATATGAGCAGTACCATGGACATTACAGAGTATACTGTATAACATCTTAGTCCTCAGTAAGGGGTATCATGAGACACTATATACTCTATTATGTACATGTCTATAGATAGCACTTACCACTTTTAATCAAATAGGCCAGTTTGTTTGGTATTCTAAGTTGCATAAAAAAGTATCAATCTATCAGAAGGTAAAATTTATCATGAAAGAAACCTAAATTTAGGATTCCTACATGTAGAATTAACCAGTTTAAAAAATCGTTATTACAGTAGTGATTTTTTTTGCAGTATTATGCAGAGTGTCATGCAGTTATTTACATTGTTGATTCATCAGACAGAGATAGAGTTTCAGAGTCTAAAGAAACATTTGGTAAGAATATTTTGCCTTCTGTTTTATTTTAACATTTACATAAAACATATTATTTTGCAAGTGCCTATTGGAAATTACTTGTATTCACCTTCATTATCCTTGAGGTGTTTCCTTTAAATGAGGTCCAATATGTTTGTATTTCACTTTTTATCTAACATTTTTTACTCAATAATATTTGAATAAAATTTAATACAAAAATGGATCATTTCCTTAGATACTTACATAAAATACTGTACTAACGAACAGTTTGTAATTTTTGGTACTATGCTCATAATTTTAAATTTATTATGTATCTCTCTAATTAAAATAAGAATCATTTTAAATTATAAATATAACTAAATACAATTTAAAAAAGAATGTATTGTATTTTTTGTATTTATAAAAATAATGTTCATTAAAATAATTTACGCAATCTGTAAATAAGATAATTTACATAAATTTATTTAATATATTATGTGTCTGCCTACCTCCAATAAAGGTAGGTGTGAGACATGTACGAATATAAATTTACAAAACAGATTCAAAACTGTCAGATCAATCATATAATGTTTCAGACAGGATGATAGCATCTGAACACCTCTCTGGAGTCCCACTGCTGGTGCTGGCCAATAAACAGGACATTCCGGACTGCATGGGTGTACACACAGTCAAGCCAATCTTCAACCAGAATGCTCACCTTATCGGTGCAAGAGATATCATGTTAATGGCTACATCTGCTTTAAATGGGTATATTATTATAACTATATTGGATATTTCATATTTTAAATTTAATTAATTAACCACCAATAACTCCTTACATGTATAAAATTTTACAATGGTTAGAAAACATCCTAGTTTTGAAATTTTTCCAAATTTAACAAAACTATAAAAATTGTGTCCCATAGAAAAAAAAAACTGACTTCAATTGTGACGAAACTAGTTATTTAATGTAAATTACTGAACCAGTTTTGATAAAATTTCTATGAGATAGATTATATAAAAAATGAAATTTATATATATATATATATATATATATATATATATATATATATATATATATATATATATATATATATATATATATATATATATATATATATATATATATATATATATATATATATATATATATATTCTTTATTGCACTTGTAAATTACATTGTTAATGCATTTATAAATATTGTGAGCAAGGGCACTTATCTCTGACAGAGATCTCTTCCAGTCAACCCAATGTAGTTAGAAAACATGTTGCTAGCGGGCAGCTGAAGTGCTACAACTATTAATATTTAGTGTACATAAACAAATATACAGTTAAATAAAATATTAAGATACATAATAAAATATTACATAAATACATATACTATAAATAAATATGATATCTACCTACTTATACAATGGGTGTTAAAATAAATGAATATACTACCTACAATAGAAATTTAGTTAAATGATTTTAAGATTTGACAGTTCAATTATAAAAATAAATAAATTTATCTTAGATAAAAAATTAATTTTTAATTTTTTTTTTTATTCAAATAGAATGGCAAATAAGCTGACGGCCCACCCAATGGAAAGTGGTAACCGTCGCCTATAGACATGAGCAGTACCATGGACATAACAGAGTATACATTTTAGATAAAAAATGTTTCACCCATGATACCCCCATGTGTTGTCATTCCTGAGAACTCAGGTTTTATTCCTCTGTTAATTTAGAAGCGATGGAATTATGAGGGAACAAACAAAAAAAAAATACAACCAAATTGAGAACCTCCTTGTTTTTGAAATTGATTGAAAAAATAAATTAACTGGTTTTAATATTAATAAAATATAAACAATATTGTTAGAACAAATCAGTAGAGTGTAAATAACATGAAAGACAAAAATTGAAAATTACAATTTTTACTCATTACATCCTATAAATTACTTGTCCACTTATCTAGTTGTACCATAATAAATATTCTAGATCTGACACTCCAGTGAATTCAGTATTAATAAGAAAGAATGCATTCTGCTTGTTTTGTCTTGTGAATAAAATAATCTCATTAAATTTCAATTAAGATTTATCTATTTTTATTGTAATAACAGATTCACCTTGCCTTAGATTATAGACATTTATTATTAAATTATGTATTTTTCGTCGTAGTTCAGGTTCTTTATAATCATTACTTTATTTCGTCTATCTGTAGAACATTTAAATATTAATTTCTATTTTTCTCTCAATATACAATATAACACTAGATAAAAATAAATCCAATCCGCTATAAATCACAACCAAATCCAAACAATTACTTAAACTGATTTGACGATCAGCTAATAAACTGTATATATTTAATGAACCCTTTAATCAGTGCTTAATCTGTAACTAAGAATAAGAATGCATTTAAAATAATTATCGAACTATAATTTAAAATATCTACCTATATTCCTATCTGTCGTAACTTTGTCAAGTTACCAATACGTTTATGACGATGGCGTCAATCATACGGTCCGGCTGATGGTAATGGTTCGGTTACCATAAATAGGTTATGGTAACCAAACCGGTCGCGTGTAAAATCAGCAGTGTCACATACTTGCTATAAAAACTCGACTACGATTAATACTAATTAGCTTTGTAATTTCGCAATAGAAATAATTCTTTTAATGACTCAATAACGTCAGTAATATAAATGAAATATTTAATTTCAGAGACGGTGTGGATGAAGGCATTCGGTGGTTAGTGGATTGTATAAAAAGAAACAGCGTCGATAGACCGCCGCGAAACCACGAAGACAACTTATAGCTGACGGTTCCTGCTAGAAGCACGTATCGTACACTAATACTATGAATAATAATGAGTTTTCCTATTTAGATAATGATGTGACTCGGCCCATTGTTTGTACATACAGTATTGACATTTAAAAATAAAACATTACACGAACTGTGTGTTGCTGTCCTTTTTTACTGATAAATAATACCTTTTGATAAGAGATACGCAATTACTGGATATTCGAGGTGGTGCCTGCACCTGATAAAACACTTCTGATAACAGTACAGTTTGTAACGTCGTGCAATGCTGTGGCTTCAGTGTGGAATGTTTTTGTGAACATTATTTAGTTTTTGTGTAAAGCCTTATCATGGCTTATCCGATGTATGAAGTCGATTGGAGTGTTTTACCTCCAGAACAAAACAGAAGGTAGGTAGTAAATTACTGATGCATGAATTATCAATAAAGTATTTGTTTTATAGTATTTATTGATACAATTGGTTTGATTATTATTAAATTAATACAATTTTATTGAGTAAAGAAAAGCGGATATTTCGAAAGGTAAAACTTTAACGTGTAGGTAGTCCGTTCGGAAATTTAACTCATTTTATAGTGATCAAAACACTGACTTAAAATCCAATTTTCGTCTATGAAATGATAATTAGATAGCAAATATTTTTGTTATAATTTAAATTTTATTTGTTGATTAATATATATAGATTATTCATAGAAGAGACATGAAAAGATAAGAATTTGACTAAAATTTAGCAAACGTCACACAAAACTCGTCGGCCATGTTGAATTTCCTGCAACGCACCACGGAAATGTCAGCTGGCCGCTGTCGTATTATTTCTTTATAAATTTATGTGCTGTGATAAAATATCTACTGGAATATTTTTCTGTGATACGTCAACTAATACGAAATTACACAAATATAATGTATCAGTTTGAATATGAAGTGAAAATATGACAGAAGTCATTAAGAGGTGGTGTGAGATTTCTCTTCAATTTCTATGGTTTATGACTAAATAAAATGCCTTTGGACCTTATTAAACAATCATAAATTATTCTTTAGTTTTTTCTGTTATGATTTAAGAGTGATACAGTGGTAAATACTTAATCTTTTAAGTGATTTTGTTCAATGGTTTTTTACCCTTTTGCACCTGCCTCAATCAAGAACGTTTACCTGTAATCAAAGGAACATTGGATTTCATTAAAAAGGATTATTTTAAGTGGACAAGATGAACGGCTCCGAATCCGGGTAAAATTTTCCTGTATTACTTCATTAAAATAAGTTATAAACAAACTTCTTTGACTATTGAAAAGTATTGCATTTTTATTTCAGTAATAAATAGTACAACCTATTGATGCACTTACCATAAAAATCTTAAGAGTATAACGTATTCAATTAGTAATTGTGTTAACAATAATAATTATATTAGTACAATTACTGTTTAATAAGTATACACATGTTTATATCAACTTATTAAGTACTTGACATCCTTTTTGGAAACTAAAGTTGATTGACTTGTTTTTTTTTTTTTAATAATAATTATATCTTAAAAACTGTTGATTCTTTAGTAATATTTTTTCAACAAATTCTAATTCAACCTATGTTTAAAATTTTACTTGTGTTTTTTTGTAACAGATGTCTATGTTTTATAATTTTTCCTAAACCTTTGTTATATAATATGTAGAAATGCAAAATATAATTTAGCACATTAGTATGTATAAGTATATTGAGCAACACATTAATAATAGTTAATGTTGTAATGATGTAACTAAACTATATTAAACTTTATGGTTTTGAGCAAAGGAATAGCTTGAGTTATGCCATGTTATAAACTGTAATGTGCTATTAAAATATATTAATGAATAAATTATATGAAATCTAAATCTAATACAAGTATCCAAGTTGCTATCTATATCTTTATCTTAAGTGTTGCCTTTTATCAACATTAGATTATTCTCTCTGAATACAATATTTTATATAAAATAATAATGTACATCACAATAAACTTAATTTAAAAATAATCTTAATATAAATCTTTTTTCTTACTTGCCTTTTTTAGTAAAAAAATTAGCATATTTTAACTGAAATAACAATAAAATGAACAAGTTGCTGCAAATAGGTTTTGTGTTAAATGATTATTTTTTATAACATCCATTTTAGTTTGAATTACTAATTTAAGACAAGAAAAAGTATATGACTTACCTCTGTTGTCATAGCACATTATTCTTTTGGGTTTAATGTTAAGATGAATATCTTAGTTAGTATATTAGTTTAACACCATACACTTGAGGAAATTGATTTAGTTTTACTGTTAACACCTTATGTGACATCACATCAATGATCAAGTAATAGATAAGTTGTTTGAATAGGTATATAAAGTTTTTATATATTGTCTTTTTATGATCATACTGATTCTCAGTGTGAAAAACAATATTAATATTTCTTTTCTGATATTCATTCCATATGTTATATTTAATATACAATATGAATATTGATACTAATGAATATTTGAACTAGGTATTTCTATTTTTTTGTGCAAAATTATTATAACTAGTTTTTACTTATGCCTTTGTCTGCAAACCCAGGATAAAAAGTAGTCTGTCATTCCTCATTTCCAATAATATGTGTATAACAAATTTTATAACAGTTGGTTGGATCAAACTCACTTTCTTATATTTTATAATAGTAATAATTCTGAAGTAAGTATATACTTAAAGATATCCCTATGTACTTCAGAATTACTTAATTAATATTTACTTTTTATTTAATTTATAGTTATTTCATTATATTACCCATATTGAATGACTGACCACTAGACAAATGGCAATCAAAATTTACCTGTACATAAATTTTAATTACAATGTATACATGAGGAATAATAAGACATTGACTGTTTCTATCTCATTCTGTCTCATGAATGTGGTTACAATGATGTATCAATAGATTTATTTGCTACTTAGATAAGAGATAGAGCTGTAAAATATCTGATAAATAAGATACAAAATATTAATGTCCCGTTATGACCAAATATGGAATGTTAATTGGTTATACAATGACCTCTTTGGTTTTAAGTTTGGTTGGTATTGAAAATAAATTACCATAGATAGCAAGGTCTGCACACATGTTCTTACATTGAAAACTTATCTTACAAATAGCCAATTTTTTTATAAATATCTTTAAAAGTTAATATTGTTTTAACAAACTGTAACTCGTAAATATTATCTTCCATGCCTTTTTTACCTTTCTAGACTGAACTGAAAGTAGTTTAATAAATAACAGTAGCTATAGATATTGTCATTTATAAAAATATAATTATAGTATTATGATAATTTACAACATTTATTCAGGTTATTTTTGTATTAAAGTATTTTCAGCTAAACAGAAATGTCTCTTTGAAAGTGTCATCTTTATTTTCATTCCAACTCAGGCTGTCTCTTTGACTAAGTCCTGGTTTTGAAGGGATAACAAATGATTGAAACTACAGAATATGAAGGCATTCCACCTTAATAATGATAAGATATAAGGGATACCACAGATACCACAGATGACAGTATATTCTGTAACATCCATGGTACTCTTAATGTCTATAGGTGATAATTACCACACTTTTTTTTTATGGGTGATAATGAGATGCTTTCCTTGCTTGTCTTATTGGTATATGCTATGGGGTGCCAATGAGAGATGACATGTGAGGATAATATCAGGTCAGTTGGCCCTTAGGGCCTATTAATTCAACAAGAATTAACCATGATGGTTTCTGAGGAGAACCATGCGGAAATTGATATGGTCATGTTCCTAGCAATGGAGCTTCTAGATCCCCATTACTAACAATCCATTTCCCTCCATCATAGGGATTAGAACTATTACAAGGATTGACAATTGGTGATGGTTGCTAAATATTTTATGTAAATGAAGATTTAATAATTTATCGCAGCATGGTACAATAGGACACAATTTTATCCTATGAATACCATAGACAACTCCTTAGCATCCAACTAGAGCAAAAGGATTAAAAAAATCATTTATACATACTTCAATCGCAATACCTTACGCTTTGTTTCTTTAAAGGAAAAGGATTGCTAGTAATGGAGTTCTAGCATCCCAATTGTCAGTAATGCACCCTAACAGATCGACCTCCACGCGGTTCCCCCTGGAAACCACCCTGGTTCATTTTTGTGAAATTCGTCAGAATGGGCCTACTAACCTGTTTCACCCTCACCTATTATCTCTCACTGGTACTCTGTCAGCGTATACCGATAGCGCAAGCAGGGTTACCATTACATTATTACCTATTAAAAAAAAATGAGTATTTAAACTCATTAGAAATGTGATGAATGATTAATGAATTCCTTTTAAATGGTGATAATTCTTTGCAGGTTCAACCCGGCTTTTAACATTGCCACAATAAAACAGGTGGTAAATGAGGCTATTGAAAGAGGTAAGAAACATATTGTCTATTATATTTACATACCTAGTTGAGAGTATACGTACCGCGCACCAGGCGACTTTTATATTCTGTCAAAATTCAAACATAAATAATTTTGCTTATCATTCAATGATAATATAAAAAAGTTTTTTAATGTACTAAAACTTTAATCGTATAATATGATTCATATTAAACTATCGCTTGTATTTTAAAATTTAATATAAAAAATATTTCATAAGTTCAAAAACGAATTACGAAGTAGCCACCCAAAATTACAAATGTAGGTATATGTGATATGATTTAAAACGAAAATAATTTAGAAATATTCAAAATTGATTTTGAAAATTGACAGACACTTAATTCAGACGTTGCCACACTGGTACGAAACCACTTGATAGTAATTATCAACTTCGCACTTCACGCTGACTGAATATTTAGTAGCCTTATAATTTTAACGGTTCGCCACTTATTCATATGTTAAAAATTGGTTTCAAACATCCTTATTTAGGGGTTTATTTTACCAATCATTTATATATATAGGTTTGCGGAAAGTACGTATAAAAGTTTTTTAAAAATTTTATTTTATATTATCAGGTAAATCAATTTTATCCCCTTCAAATAAAGAATGCACTTGTGCCAAAAGACTTGAAAGATGTGACGTAGCTTTTTTTATTCATAAACTATTTGGTTTTTGGGAACAAGAAGAAGTCACACGGGGCCAAATCCGGCGAATTGTGTCCTTGTGAGATCTTACTCGCGATTTACAGACTCTGAGCACATCGAAGAATTTTCCATCAACTGTCTGGCCTGGAGGGAGTTTGATGGACAAGAACATCGAAAAAAACAATCAACATTAATAATTTCCATCTAACTCTCTCGAGGTAATTGAAAATGCCGTTAACAAGCATCCAGCCATATTTTGCAATATAGCGACGTATCGTATAGTAAAAGACAGATGTGACCTTTTTTTTCACTATTCAAGCGTTGTGTCCTTGTGAGATCTTACCCGATTTACAGACTCCAAAGATCATGAGTTCGAGATTAATAATTTCCATCTAACAATATATAGCGACGTATCGAGTGTTTCCGCAACAACAATATTAATTCTCTGTATCAGATATTTCTGATGTACATATTTATTAATTCAACATATTGAAAAACTTTTAAATAACTAATATATTGGTTGATCTAAATATGATCGTATATTTATAAACCCCTTAATTATAGGTTTAGTCTAATTATGTATATGAATTTATTACCTAGCTATTATGACACATATTTATGCTTTAGATATTAAACTTAACTACATTAGAAAGTGACTAATAAAAATGTTAAGTCTTCTTTTTTAAACTGCTTGAAAATATGAATACATGCTTAAAAGACATGCAAAAACTGCTTAAAATATTTCTCTAAATAGTTTCCACCTGCTAACAGTATGTCATTTTTTCTTCTATGTAATTGATTAGTCTAAATTTACTCTGAAACTAGCCTTCCGTAAAGCAAATGAATCTCAATTCTTAAATACGGTGAATGATACTCCAAACTGAGGGAATTTAACATTTGAATCAAGAAAGGTGAACGTAATACAAGTATAATAAGAAATTTCACACATTCAATTTATATTTGTAAATGAAAATGCAATACCAATACCAATGAGAAACGATAGGTGAAGACGAAGTCAGATCGCTTGTACCATTGTAACGGGTTAACGACGTAAGATATATCTAGCAGGATACATTGCTAGCATTAAGGTTATTCCTACTTACTAACAGTAGTTAGTAATACTAATAAATTTACTAATAATTCTTTCCCCCATATAACCTATATTAAAATACAGAGCAAACTACAATTACTACACTTACACTCGGCTTTGTCTTTCTTTGCCAGTTGGATTAAAAAGAATAGTTTTTGTATTTATTCACAAGTTTGTCCCTTAGTTGTTGTAAATATTTATATTTGTATAGCAAATCTGTATGCAAATAGTAGCACTGTATAGTAACAATAAAACATCTATAATTTTTCGACCTAACCGCTTAGCTTTAAGTAGCCGCACTCAACAAATGCACTGATCTATGCTTTCTATGTGTGTGTGCCGTCCGTAAACAGTCGCGCCGGTTTCAGTGCGTATGCCCACACCCACCCGTCTCCGGGACCTCATCAGACAGATTAGAGCAGCCAGAACTGCTGCCGAAGAGAGAAGTGTCGTGAACAAAGAGTGCGCGTACATACGGTCCACGTTCAGAGAAGAAGACAGCGTTTGGAGGTGAGTTCAAAGAATATTTTCTATACATTCTTTTTTTTTAATGGATGAATGGAATGGTAGTAAAACTGAAAGCCCGCCTGCGCTAAAGGTAAAAATATACACTGGCGGGGCACCAGTGAAGGTATATATATATATATATATATATATATATATATATATATATATATATATATATATATATATATATATATATATATATATGATAGGTGAGAATGAAAAAGCAGGTCAGTTAGCTCATCGTGATTAATATACCTGGAATTTAGTACAATCGTTTTCAAGGGGGACCATGTGGATGTCGACCTGACAGGGTATATTGCTAGCAGTGGGACTGGTAACCCGCATTACTAACTCTACCATGCATACGTTATGGTAAAACTGAAAGCTATAGTTCAACTATAGTATTTCTAGTTTTGTTGTTGATGAAACTAAACATAACAACTTTCGCTGAGGAACATGAGTAAAAATATACAAATAATTTTTAATACAATGGTAATACTTTTGTTATCGCTAGTTGGCGTTGTGTATATATATATATATATATATACACAACATTTTTAATATACCACCACTAAGTTCCAACACTTAGAAAAAACAGAAATTATGTACAAAACTACTTTTGTAATAATCTTCTCGAAGGAGCAACAATATGAAAATAAAAAGGCATTAGAGAGATCCCAAGAAACATTGGTCTCGATGCTTTTTTTTGTTATTATTACTTTTAATAAATACCATATTTTATAAGAATTTTTTATTTTTTTTTATTTCCTACATTTGAAACTCATTAATTAAAAAACATACTTAAAAAAAATACTTAATATATCGCTCCGGTACGGGCGATATTGAAATGAGTGATAACTTTTTTTGCTATCAAAATCTCGAGGAATCCAATAAATCTCAAATCTCATTGACATCGAAATATATAGTAACAATATAAAAATAATAATATTAGTTCATGCACCCATTACAGAGAAAAAAACGGTTGCATTTACTTATTATCAATACAAATATGCATTTGCGGTTTCTCTAAAGGCCACACCCCAATCCAAGGCCTCGTTCAGACCATCGACCTTCTATATAATTTAATTATTATTCCTTTACAAAACAAGTTGGGCAAAGGTGTCTCTCTACTGTTTCCACTTACAATTATTAGCTTAGATAGGTGTGCCATAGACTCGGTCAAGTACATTTAATAATTTTGATATCTAATAATAAACATGTAATAGATATTGAGAACCGAATGTAAAGTATCACACACAAGCCCAAGAGGTTTAAGTGGTACTAAAAATCCAATTTTTTTTAATGTATTTATGTATGATAATTAAATAAAAAAAAAAAAAAAACCTGTATCTTCGATTCTGACCGCCTAAATTAATATATAAAGTACCCTGTATGTTCATCTTTAATATAGCCTATCTATGTTCTACATTTCGTTTAAATCCGTTCAGCCAAAGCGTGTTTAAATAACAAACATTACAATCACTAAACTCAAACATCTTTTACAAACTGTTACATTTATAATATTGCCACAAAATATATCTTAAATACACTATTTACAGTAAATTATGATTAGTATTTAAATACTAATACAGTAACCTGGACGAAACAGTATACTCTGTTATGTCCATGGTACTGTTTATGTCTATAGACGACGGTTACCAATTTTTATCAGGTGGGCTGTCAGCTTATTTGTAATGTTTTCACGTGACCTACAAATCGTGAAAAAGTGATATAAGCATGACACTGTCCATGTTCGTTCTAATTTCATTGTTTGCCACTAACTAATCAATGTACGGCTGCAAAAAGCTTGATCAATCAAGCAGATCATAGCGTCATAAGGTCGTTTTAGACAAGTATAGAGATTTTTTCTCTGATACGAGGTATTTTTTATACAATTAAAAACGGTGAACAAGAAAAGTGATTACCTGATGAAAAGTGACAAGTGCAATAACCGTCGCCTATTGACAAGAACAACACCATGGGCTTCAATGTACGCTATGACATTCTATCAGCTGATTAGTTGATTGGAATTGTTTTGTTTCTTCTGTTGTTGAATTCTGTCACTATTAGTATGCATGCGACTGGCAACACTCAAAGATTTACTACTAAAATTATTACCAAAAGTTCTACAACCTTCCATCAATCAATCTCCGACCGTTAATCAGTCCACACACATTTTGCGACACGTATTTCACCTTTAAACGAGGCATCTTTAGGCAAATTAATAGATCGCTGCTCGGAGCCTTGTGTTAACAGCTCGGTGCCCAAATTGCGAAAAAAAAAACTAAATTAGCATCTAGTTCAATAAAAAACAGAAGGCATATAAAAGTGGTTTGTTATTATAACGTCACTAACGTTGCTTTTCCATATTCTATCAGCAATGGAAATCAAATCTATCTATCTATCTATAATTTACAAGAGATAAGGAAAAAACCTAATGTTATAATATAATATTCCACTCAAGTCGTGATCACTACAACAACGTACATATTCACAATATTTATGAATACGTTCGTTCAATATATACATAATTAATTCGAAATCATGAACAGATCCCTTTATAAGATTGTACCACCAATTAAACTGAGTATTTCTCCCAAAGAAAGCGAGTCTAAAACAACTAAAAATTCAAAGAATATCTGTAAAGTTTTCCATTACAAACTTGAATGTTATACACGCGATATTACGGAAATCCAAAATTTTTTGTCAATGCCTCGTAATGAGCATTATCACTATGATATTTCACATTGTAACATTTGAATCGACTATCATCACAAAACTATAAATAAGCCTGTATATATTATTGGGAGATTTTCTTGCCATTTTATTTGTTAATATAAATATATATTTGTTTTTACATGTCCAGACTGTTATCATCATCATATCAGCCGTGATCACTGCTGAACATAGCCCTTCCCCATAAGGGAGGTTTTGCCAGTTTTAAATTAATTATGTCAAATTATATTGTGAAATTCTTCTCTTTAAACCTGAATGACACACACACGATCATGTTTGCTTTCACTTAGAAATAGTCACACATGTGTTAACAGTGTACAAAAACATTTTGCTAAACTATAAAACAATTTCATTTGTCATCATGAAAATAATAGCCTACTGAATTATTGGCTAGTGGCCAGGCAGCCTGGTATAGGGTTTTATTTCGCTTTTTCCTTTAGCAGTTGTGCATTCAGAACAATATGTTTATATACATCTAGAACTATAAAGGAATAATACTAATGTGAGGTCACCATGCATTGTCACTCTGTCTCCATACAGACAGAAACAATATGTGATTATTTAATATTATAATTGTACTCCATAGTCGGTAGTTAAATATTTTTCATATAGACTGATTCTGGAATGTATATATCCTTCTGTATATTTATTTAATGAATGAAAATGGAATTGTAACCTCGCTTGCGCTATTGATGCACGCTGGCGGGGCTCCAGTAATGGATGATTGATGAAAATGAAGCAGATGAGTGGACCCATTTGATGAATTCATCAAAAAATAACCACGATGGTTTCCAGAGGGGATTTGCGTGGAGGTTGACCTGTTAGGGTATATTGCTAGTAATGGGACTGTTAGATCTCATTCCTAACAATCCCTCCTTCCTCCTTCCTTTCTGTATATTTAGACTTATGTTCCTTAACGAAAGTTCTTCAGTTCGACTAATACTATCGCTGGATTTTTACTTGTTATTACTCTTTTTTTGTTTGCTATACTTATTACATATATTACGTGGCATCATATAAGTTCTCTTATGTCAGCGGTGGCCGATTTAACTAGACCCAACATCTACTATTTACTGACGAAACCCTGTGCCATCTACCAGTTACATACTTCTTGAAATCTCAAATGAATAAACATAATTTGCACGATTATGTAGTATTGTAGTATTTTTTCATTTTACTAAGAAGGAAAACATAAAACTGAAATTATTCTTAGTAACTACTTCTTTTCTCTTATTTTTTTTGCCTTGCCATGATCGACTGGACTAAGAGTCGCAATCGACCGGTTGGCCACCCCTGTCTTATATCAACTATACGCACAGGTGGCCAACCAAACGGTACCCACCTGGTAAAAATGTCTTTTATGTGTGTAGCCTTCTGCCAATATAAACTGACTAATGCACCATTTATTTTTAATTGTACAATAGCATTATTTATTTGTATGATACTCATTGACGAAGAGTGGACAAAATAGATATACAATCAACAACAAGGGTAGTGCAATACTTATGTTATTATTCATGTTAAAGATGGCATATATTATAGGGTACAAGGGTATAATACATAGTCCTCAGAATTGGCAACGCGCAAATTACAAAGCCAAGCAGTCAAATGTTTAAACAGTAGCAAGTCTCTGATTAAACAGAAATTAATGTTGTTATCGCTCTACAGATGTCGCAACATAGCAAAACTCCTGTACATCCACATGCTGGGGTACCCGGCGCACTTTGGACAGTTGGAGTGTCTCAAGTTGATCGCGAGTCCGAGGTTCACGGACAAACGGGTCGGCTACTTGGGCGCCATGCTGCTACTTGACGAGCGTCAGGATGTCCACCTTCTCATCACTAACTGTTTGAAAAAGTGAGTATAAACTTTTTAACATGAGAGACATTTCTAAATTCTTCATTATTATGTTAGGCGTTAATTGTCCTCTGCTGAACACAGGCCTCCCCCTTTTGGGGCTTGGTCAGTAGTTGCCACGCTTGGCAGGCGGATTGGTAACCGCAGTTAGGCTTTGGTGATGTTTTAAGAAGGATGCTGCTGCCTTTCCTTAGTTGCCTCTTACGACACCTACGAGAAAGGAAGAGGTGGCCATTCTATGCCGCCACTACACGGCAAAATTCTCCACATTTGTTGCTATGTTTGCTGTCATTTACATCTCCAATTCAGAACCCATTTTGATTAATCTTTTTGCAATCTGTAATTTATTCTCTTGTTGATTCTATATCAATTTTGTGATGATAGAACCCGTCTTTTTTGCAGAACAAATTTCTAGTTACTGTAAAACAAAATTTGCTTGTAAATAATAAGATAACTTAACGTTCTAATTTCAAATATTTTCTTGTGTTGTATACAAACTTGTACCAAATTTACCTTAAATTTGGTACATAGACAAAATGTTCACAGACTATGGAACGTAGGTCTTATAAAAATTTAAAACAACATTACATAGTTCCGGAGCAGCGAACTGAACGCCTATAACTGCTATAATCCGGGCGTGACCCGCTCCGGAACAAAAGATGGGAGCTACCTTTATTTATTTCAAAAGCCGTAAATGCCATTGTGCCAGCTGGATCGAGCCTGCGGAACGGTCCGTGCAAAGTTTATAAAAGAATTCATACTTCCATACCGTCCTTGCTATTATAAACTAATTGTAATTCGTCTCTTTGCCAATATAAATTGGAATGAAAAGTTCCCCATATGTTGCAGGGTATGACCCATATATATGTACTCGTATAGATAGGAGGATATATGATTTATTTACATTACTTACAGTACACAAATAACAACAGACATAGATATACACAAAAAGAAATAGAGGTAAAGAATATATGTACAAAAAAAAAAAAAAACAAACAAAATACTTAAAAAAAGGAACAGAATTTTTCATTTCGTGCGTGTGCCACAGTAAGACGATATGGTCACAACTCATTGCTTTGTCATCGAAAGAGATATTTTTTTTAAATAAATGATTATGGAATGGTAACCCCGCCTGTACTGTCGGTATATATATTCAACACGATGGTTTCCAGGGAATACCACGTGAAGGTCGTCCTGATATTTTGTTAGCAATGGAACTGGTAGTCCGTATTACTAACAATTCATCCTCCCATTATGATATTTGTAAAACAAAAGTGATATATGTGCCAAAGAAGTTTTGTCTTGACAAAATCGCGGACACAGCTAGTAATATAGTATATTATGTTCACGTACTGGCCACTAATAATTTTGTAAAATACTGGCCGGTAATAATTTGTCCTATTTAATATACTACAACTACCTTGAGGGGAAATCCATAAGCATGTCCAGTTATTTTTTACTGCTACGTGACTGATTTCTGTTGGCATTTTCCATATGTACTTTCTTCCTCTTTAACCCTAAAGAGGAGGATGTTATTAAAAAAAAATTGTTTTAATCTAACTTATAAAAAAAAAATAGCAAATTTTTGCTTCTAGATCCACTCCTCTACGTATTCTACATCACCAGATTAGTTTATATTTGTCAGTTAGTCTTGATTTCAAGGATATACATAATTTTCGGTTTTTATAAAATTTGAATTTTTTTTTTTTTAATTTATATTGTGATAATGCTTATTTTTACAATCGAAATGTTTTGTTCCCGTTTCGGTCCCATACAGTATTTTATGGAACGAAATGTTCTTAAGTCTGTAGTAAACAGATGAACGGCCCGTTTCATGAATAATACAAGGCGCTGTAAACGTAAAATGTTAACATAAATTAACCGATAAACTCGGATACTTGGCATATTTATCGGCGCTCCTTCGCAATTAGCGAGTCGCTGACTTCGATGTTTCGAATACGGTTCGTAGATATTACAACATGCCGGTGTAGTAAGGTAGACTTATTTTGGGCTGCACGTTAGCAGCTAAGAGCGCTTGTGCACATTACGTAACATATGTTCATAATGTTCATTTAAAATTACTGCAACAAATCGGAACCGGCCTTAAATAATATCTTAAATAAGCCTTAAATAGTATCTACATGGCACCGTTGTGCATATGTCCTTCTGTGGTATAAGTTCTTAAATACCATACCAACAACGCTAACGTGCCTTTTGACTCATTTTTGACAACGCCCAGTGTCTGCTTTAACTACAAATAATGGAGCCGATTTTAAGATGTCATTTGTCTAAAGTCATGTCCAATCCTTATATTTCAATTTGATCATTCCACGAAATTACTGTTTTATGATAGTGGCAATGTGTTAGTCACATAGCTTGAAGAACTGACAACTAGGCAAAAAGTTCTACTACTTATTAGTTTTAAAACGAAAATCGATTAACGACCGGATGTTTTATATACACATTAAATCGAAAATATTTGTATTTATTTATTACAAACTTTGATCAACCAGTTTGTATGCGTGACCAGAATATATATATATATATATATATATATATATATATATGTACATCATATTTCATAACGATTCTGTTAAAACATTGGGACGAGAGGTAACAAATAAACTAACTTACACATTTATAATACATTTTTTTTATCCAACTTAGAATGACAAACAAGATGACGGTCCACCTGATGGAAAGTAGTAACCGTCGCCTATAGACATGAGCAATACCATGGACATAACAGAGTATACTGTTTCGCCCATGATACCCCCCATGCGTTGTCATTCCTTTATAATAAATAATTAAGATATAAATAAGGAAGTATTCGGACGGTTCTTCCATTTAAAATTTATGGAGTATTCCCTACTTCCTTTCATGACCTTGGTGGTTAGCGGTTTAACTTAGTACAAGCTTTATATTAGTTTGTGCCCAGATGGCTCTGTGAGATATGTCCAACGCTGTTTGTCTATTGATTAAGTAACCCCAGTATATTATAAACTATCATTGCAACAATATGGTAAACAACAAGCAAATATATATATATATATATATATATATATATATATATATATGCAACCTAGAATGGCAAACAAGCTGACGGCCCACCTGATGGAAAGTGGTAACTATCGCCTATAGACATGAGCAGTACCATGGACATAACAGAGTATACTTTTTCGCCCATGATACCACCCATGCGGTGCCATTCCTAAGGATTCTGGTGTTATTCATCTGTACCCTGTAAATTCACTGCCATATCCCATCCTTCAAACTGAAACACAACCATGCAAACACAACTGCTTCACGGTAGAAACACAAATGGGGCAGAGGCGCCCAAGCAAACGACTTTTGTACAAGATCTCCCTCTGGTGTGTGTGTATGTGTATGTATATACATACATATACATACCTATAAATATAATGTATAATATACAATAGCCTGTGATATTTTTTGCGATAAGTATATGTACGTTTTAAATCATATCAATTTTGTTTGAACTGATTGTGAATATTTAACCAAATATTTGGTTGTTTATTTATTAAGATAACACACACACACACACTACAATTGAATTGAATTTAGTTTTAAAAATAAAAATAATAATGAGAACATTGTCTGCAGACAATTATGTATTTAAATAACAAGGCCGTAAGTCTGATTTTAATTCAATCCGTTTCACTGATATTCAGTAAGGGCTCAGATACTCGTACAACAAACAAATCGTAAATTCGTATGAGCCGTTTATATTTTAACAAAGATCGTATTTGCGTATTCGCAAATCGTAAAAAATTACGAATACATCCAATAATTCAAATCTTTATCAGGATACATCTTCGGGATTATATTGCATTATATTGTTACTTTATAATGTGAGTAATAACCACGTCTTTTTACGGATCATTATTAATAACAAGTTATTGTTTATTTATTTATTAGCTTTTTTTACATTAACTTATAAATATTAATTTATAACAAAATGTACACAGAACGGACTTATCCCTTAAAGGGATTTCTTCCAGTCAAATTTGAGAAGCTGGGAGGAAAGTACCTGTAGGATAATTAATGACGGATGTATATATGCAAGCTTTAGAAACATTAACAAATAGTTTATCCGCAACTTCATCTACATGACCGGAATTATTATTATTTCAGCCGTTATCTGTCCACTGCTGAACATACGCCTTCCTCATAAGTTTCATAAGGCAGGCGGGTTTGCAACCGCAGTTAGGCTTTTAGAGATGTTTAAAGAGCTGCCCGTCTCTAGCCCTCCCTTAGTCGACCCTTACGACACCCACGGGAAAGGAAGGACCTATTTTATGCCGGGACCATACGGTGATTATGTATCTGGGGGGAAAGGATTGTTAGCAATGGAGTTTGACAGCCCCATTGCTAGCAATATGTCTTATTAGGTCGACCTCCACGTAGTTTAATAAAGTAAATAGATTCATTCAGATCATTCAAAGTAATAGGTTTTTTTTAATAATTGAAATATTTTTTTGTACACACATATATATATATATATATATATATATATATATATATATATATATATATATATATATATATATATATATATATATATATATATATATATATAAGATATTTCGAGAATAATAAATAATTTTAAAGTCTCAAAACTTTCCTCATTTTTCCGGTACAAAATTGCTACATTATTTTTTATTTCTTACACAGTGACCTCAACAGCAACACTCAATTCGTGGTCGGACTGGCGCTATGCACTCTAGGAGCTATAGCCTCGCCCGAAATGGCGCGGGACTTGGCCTCAGAGGTGGAGAGACTCATCAAGTCCCCGAACGCCTATATCAAGAAGAAGGCTGCTCTATGCGCCTTCCGAATCATAAGAAGAGTTCCTGATCTCATGGAGATGTTCTTACCAGCTACAAGAAGCTTGTTGACTGAGAAAAATCACGGTGAGTATTTCACACTTTATGTATATCATCATTATATGGTTTTGTGTACTGTGCACTTTTGAACATAAGCCTACCCCATAAGGGGGGTTTGCCAGTAGTTGCCAAGCTTGGCAGGCAGATTGACATTATTGACTATATTATTGACCGTACTTTGGTTTTTAGTGATGTTTTAAGAGAGGCACTGCTGCCCATCCCTTGCCCAGTAAGTTTCCTTAGTCACCTACTACGACGACACCCACGGAAAAGGAAGGGGGTCACTTTATGGCTTTTATGATTTCCTGGTAAATTTTCGGTTATTAAATACCAAAAAACACCGGGGAGAAAGGGATTGTTAGTAATAGAGACTGAGAATACCATTGCTAGCAATATACCCAACCAGGTCGACCTCCTCGCGGTTCCCCCTGGTAACTATCATGGTTAATTCCTGATGAATTCATCATGATGGGCTACCTGGCCTGTTTTCATTTTCATCTATCACCCTTCACTGGTGCTCCGCCAGCGTATCCCGTTAGCACAGGCGGGGTTACCATACCATTTTCACCCATCAAAAAAATACCAAATGACACCAAATATTTGTCTTCTTTTACCTAAACAGATTTGAATAAATAATTTGTCAACACAATAACATGTTATAACTAACAATTTTATGTAACCATTCTCCGTTCATTTCAAGGCACCATTATAATAATTAAGACCGGTAATTGTATGCCAACATTTCTATAATAATGCGTGTGTTAGTGTTTTGACCTACACGTTGCGTGACGCAGTCATTTCTAACATGTAACCAAGTTCGCTCGCCGTCAATTACTTTATAAGTTTCTACGATAATATATGTAAATCGTTCAAGACCTCAATAGCAAATGTATAGACTTGTTGTCTGTTATTATTCTTTATTCTTTATTGTACACAAAACATACTGGTAATTACAATTCATTATAAACATAATGTACAAAGGCGAGCTTATCTCTAATAAGAGATTTCTTCCAGCAAAACCTTTCCATGTTAATGTGTTATTTATGTAATATAATATATATTTAACAATTAAATATAGATACATCAAGATACATTATGTGTGTAAGTATATAGAACATCGATAAAAAAAACAAGTTAGCTAATTTGACAATTAGCTGACAAAAAGTCGACCCGTTTTTAAGACTCGACGCACTAACTCCGTCAACAAACATAAAAAATACAAATGAATTAAAAACTTTGTCCTTTTTTGAATTCGATAGAAAAAAAATTAAATCAGACATTGCACTGACTAGCATACTTTTTTAACTGAACTGGTAAATGGCTTTCTAGCGTCTAACTACATCTCTGTACAGAAATAGATAAGGTGTCACTTATCGAAGCGAAGTAACTGGAATCTCTGTATATTATGAACAGCAAAGAGACAAGATAACGTTGGCTGCATTATTTAAATTTTATCCTATCCTATTTACCTATTTTCAACTGAAAGAAATCGTCAATTAGTTTTTTTTTCTAAATCAATTTGGAAAATTCTTCTTTTATCTGAAAAGATTTATTGACACCATAGAAATTTTATCAAAATCGTTTCAGTACATTAATTTTTATATCAAAATAACTGGATTTATCACAATTGAAGTTTATTTAATACAAAATTTTACTATTATGGAGCAAAATTCACTTCCTATCTGGAAGTAAATAATATCTTTTGACTTTCTTTTATCTATATCAACCTTCTACCTGCTGACCTACAAAATATCTAGTATATATTTATTTAATGCTAATTAATAACTATTAAATTATATATATATATATATATATATATATATATATATATATATATATATATATATATATATATATAATAACCAACCAACATTATATATATATATATATATATATATATATATATATATATATATATATATATATATATATTTTACTCGCTGATACATGATGATTATTATTTAGTTGTACAGGTGAAAAATTTATTAAAATTAGTTTAAGTATATTTTAAGTTTCCCATTACAAACAAGAAATTAATCGCCTTGAACGTCATACCTCTTATAAACATATTTTAGCTGTTCTGTCTCTTTCTTTTGTGCTAAATTGTTAGTCTCTTCATAATATTAATTGAAATCAGTATAAGTTCTGTACATTAAAATATAAATACGAATTATTTTATACGACAATATTGGCTTATCTATAACGTTGAAAAACGCTACTACGAGTATCAGATAAAGGTTTTACCTTTTTGCCCTCACGGAGTAATAAAATGTCAAATGTTATCACTTAAGAAGGTAGTATTAATTAATAAACCGGTATCAACTTGATATCAAAATTCATCAGAGGTCAAAGCCGATACAGTAAAAAAATGCTTTAGATATATAGGTATAATTATACCTCGTACTGTATACCCAAACTGTTCATCAAGTTAAAAATGAATTTTGTACGAAGTATCTAAGGTATATAATGCAACATGAACCAGTTCTTATAGATTGAACCTTTCGTTTCAACCGAATATAGTGGATTCCAAATTCAAAAAAGATTCTAAATTAAAAAAATGTTTATCGTGTAATTTTTTTAATAAGAGTAAATACTTTATAACTAAAAATTCACGCGGTGAATGTCACAATGGAAAAAAATACTTATTCATAAGATTGTTTCACAAAAAAACCGACTTCAATTGTGGTGAAACCAGTTATTTTGATTTCAAAACCAAATTACTGAACCAATTATGATAAAATGTCTATGCAAACAATCTATAAGTATATCCTTTCAGATAAAAAAGATTTTTCCAAATTGGTTTATAACTGATGAAGTTATGATGTAACAAACATAAAAAAATACAACCTAATTGTGAACCGTGTGAAAAGAGGGATCTTTTTAAAGCCTGTTGAGAAAAGAATTCTAAATTCGAAAAATATTGTCTACGTATATCTTTTATAATTATTATTTTTAATCTGTATTCCATATTCAAACTTAACAACACTAAATACACAGTCGAAATTATCTATGTTGTGTCAACAGGTGTCCTTATCACCGGCGTGACGCTCATCACCGAGATGTGTGAAAACAGTCCCGACACACTAAATCACTTCAAAAAGGTGAGTACTCCATCGTTTTACAGTACAAAAACTATCTCTACTTCATAAGTGTTACGGTTTAATTTGGTGTACACGAATTTCTAGGTTATTGTATAATCGAATTGATTGTGTATGATAAGAGTACTGTAATAACTAATATAAAAGTCGTCGTGTACATAGACTACACAATACGTATTATAATTATAAATGTACATACATGCACATGTTTCTTTTTTCAAATATACAATACTAATTTGCTTATAAATTTTGTAACGATGGCTGAATGTATGTTTGTTAGCCTTTCACGCAAAAACTACTGAACTGATTTGCATGAAATTTAATACACGAATAGGTTATATTCTAACTTAGCAAGAATACTGATTCACGCGGGTGAAACCAAAGAGTATAGCTAAATAATTGTAAATTCCGAAGGATCTGTGAGTGATTTTAGAGTTTACGCGAAAATAAACTAGAAAAAAAATTTATACCTTTTTTAAAAATCAACGAAAAAACCTTTAGCTGTACAGTTTTTACCGTACCAAGTATCAAATAATGACAATATTTTTATAGAATAAATAAAGTCGCGTAAAATAAAATTACTTAAAAAAAAAAACTTTTTGGCTGCTATACAATTATTTTAAATAGATATGTGTTTAGGAATAAGTATTTAAATTTTTAAATTTAAATTCAAATATAAAACTTAAAACTATTTGTCGGTTTATACTCCTTTTATTATAATATGATGCTGATAATGCAAAACCCTGAACAGTAAAAAAAATATTAAGATGTATTAGAGGATTATAAACTATAAAATTAAAAAAAGTGCTTCGTAAGTTACTAAGAGCTAACTTACAATGATAAAAAATGTTTCTTAAAAAGTATCAGTTATGATTACTGAATAGGCTTAACGTCAAAACCTCTTACCGTCCATTTACGGGAAAAACCTTCGAAATGTCAACTGTCACCCGCACTACTCTATAATGCAATTAGTATACCTAATAACGACGTTGGGGAAGGGATTGTTCATTGAATAATGTGGACTACCAATCCCATTGCTAGCAATATACCCTATCTGATAGATATCCAAGTAGTCTCCCCTGGATACCATCATGCTGAATTCCAAATGTAAAGCGATGAGCTAACTGACCTGCCTTTTCATTCTCACCTATCATCCGTCACTATTACTCCGCCAACGTTAGGGGGGAAAAGGGATTGTTAGTAACGGGGTCAAAATAGCCCTATTACTAGCAATACACCCTGTCAGGTCGACTTCCAAGTGGTTCCCCCTGGAAACCATCGTGACTAATTCTAGTTTGGAATTAGTCACGATGGATCAAGATGGGCTAACTGACCTACTTTCATCTTCATCTGACATCCCTCACTGGTGCCCCGCCAGTGTATACCAACAGCGCAGACGGGGTTACCATACCATTGTCACCCATTAAAAAAAACCCCCCGCCAACGAAGGCGGGGTTACCATTCCATTATCATCCATTAGAAAAAAAAATAACATCGTGACCGCGAACAACCATGACTCATATTTTAATACATGTAAATGTATCGCATGTCCGAGCAGATTCAAATTAAACATCTTGATAAGGTTACCATCGATCAGTCGGCCAATCGGTCGATGAACTCGTCGGCGTACCGGTTACATTTCGGCTTTACATTAGAACGTTTATAGTTAGAAATTTTTGTTCAGTACATATGTATAATATTACTGTGTAAATGTAATTTGTAAGGCATTTATAATTATGAATCTATATTAGTATATAGTTATGTGAAATAAATACCTAAGTTAATTTAAAAATATTTACCGTATACGCATGAAAAAGGATGAAGTTGCTTCCTTCAGTTGAGTGTCGAATCCATATATTACGTATTAGAACACACACGTTCCATTAACATTTTAGTTTATATTATAAAACTAGTGATCCGACCCGGCATCGCACGGTTTTACAATTTTCAGTTACTTCAGTTATGGCATAACTAGTTATATTCATCTAAAAATTTAAGTACTAAACCGATTTTGATAAAATTTCTACAATTGTCCCCTTATAGATAAAAACAGAATTTTCTAAAACGATTTATAACCGACGATGTTACGAGGTAAAAACATAAAACAAATTACGACCAAATTGACAACCTTGTTATTTTTGAAGTTATTTTAAAATAATATATAACCTATGCTACTCGCTGATAATGTAGCTTTCTATTGGTAAAAGAATTTTTAAAATCGTTCTTGTGCTTTTTGAGTATATCCATTACAAACAATCAAGTACATAGGGTACCATAGGGTACAAAGGAATAATACCTGAGTCCTAAGGAATGGCTACGCATGGGGGAATTCATGGACAAAACAGTATACTCTGTTATGTCCATGGTACTGCTCATGTCTATAGGCGACGGTTACCATTTTCCATTAGGTGGACCGTCAGCTTGTTTGCCATTCTACGTTGCATAAAAAAAAATCAAATCTTTCCTGTTTACAATATTAGTTATACATGTTAGTGCGTTTGAACAGTCTCGCCTGATGTTAAATGATGACGTGGCATAAGATGCACGAATAATAGCTTAATAAATAGATATATAATTTATTTGCATTACTTACAGCACATAATAAAAATAACAACAGACATACACAGTAAAAGGAGTTAAAAGAATGCATATACAAAAAAAAAGCAAAATATTATAAAACAAGTAACAATTTTTTCTTTCACGACTCAATTTATTATTTTGCCCTCAAAAAAAACAAACCACTGATATTCTATTGTGGCCAAGTCGCGAAATTCTTTTAATAAAAATAATAAAAGAAAATATATGAATAAAATACATTGTGTGTGTCCATTACATTTGTTACCATTTAATACAATGTATATAAATAAATAACAAATACCATTAGAGGAGCGATAATCAGAGGTCACTTTCTGTCACATTCAAGCATTCTGGCGATAAATATTTCCGCTACATACCTATTAGGTATGCTGTTTTTTTATTTATTAATTAAAAACATTTTAAGAACTTTTTTTAAATATATGTTACGCACACTCAATGTTTATCTACTCTACCTTTGAAAGACGACCTCATAAAGAAACGGAAAATACAAACGCCGGGAGAAAATCCCATTTCCTGGCTGTTCGAATGAGAAATGAAAAGCAAAGCGCTTTGTGTGACTTGATCAATTATGAAGGAAGTCTTTTCTGCAGTATTTTTTATGTAAATTTTATGAACAATGTATATAGGTTTGATCATAAAATGTACATACATCCGTTAACCTTTTTAGCTAGTTAAACAATCGTTAACCATCCACTGTTGAACATAAGCCTTCCCCCTAAGGGGAGTTTTGCTACTAGTTGTCACGCTTAGCAGGCGGGTTGTCAACCGCCGTTAGGCTTTTAGTGGTGTTTTAAGAGGGACGCTTCTGCCTGTCCCTCTACCATAAATTGCCTTGTACATCCTAATGAAAAGAAATTTGTTTATTTGTTTGTTACATTATAGCATTTTAACTAATTACTATGAAATTTGGGATTAAGAAAAATATAGGCTACTTTTTATTTCGGTTAGTGATTATATCTGAGTCCTGAGTCCTCAGGAATGGCAACGCATGAGCGGTATCATTGGCGAAACAGTATACTCTGTTATGTCCACGGTACTGCACATGTCTATAGGCGACGGTTACCAATTTCCATCAGGTGGACCGTCAGCTTGCTTGCCATTCTAAGTTACATAAAAAAAATCTCAGTCACGCGGACGAAGTCCAGGTAAAAGTTACTTATAAAACAATGGCTAGTTTATATAAAACCATAAACAATAGACTTAAACGACCGATTGTCTGTTATCGTTGTATGTTTACATTTCCAATCGAACATAAATGATTAATATTTTTTGTTTAATTAATAAGTCGTATCAACATTGCTATTGAATAATTTATATTTTGTTTATTTATACATGGCATATTTAGCAAACAATTATGGGAAGTCAATTTTTTTTATCGAATTTAAAAGGGTAAATGTGATGTTCTCATTAAAGCTTAAACTGCAAGTCTCGTGCTCCAGGCCACTCCTCTGGGTGACGTTCGGGCGGGTGGTCGTGAGAGTCGCATTGTGACATATTAATGTTTATTTTTTACACCTACCTACCATACCAGGAGTCATTCAAAAGCAGGCAAAAAAGTAATGACAAATTATCGATATAAATATCTTTCTAGGTGTCTGTTTGTTGTTCACTTCGTGCACTGTTATTTCAATAAAAAAGATATGACAAAATTGTTTACTTAAAATGCCGAATATAAAAAATAAATAATACATACATAAAATTATACTTGACATAAAATTTTTTAATCCTTTAATATTATAATTTTATATATTTACATTAGATACATATCAGATGTCTTAAAAGATATCTAATTCCAACGATGTTATTCATGAAACTGAACATATTTAACTACTTTTTGCAAGGAATAAGATTGAAATAATAATACTTAATATAAACCGTGTATTTCATCAAATATCTACCCGCTTTTTTGTTATTCACAAATTGCATAAAGAAAAATAAAACAAAAAATGTCTCTCGAAAAGTTCAATCGTGAATGGTATCGTTGGATTTCCGATAGTTTACCCTTATCTTTATACTTACATATAAAAAAAAATGTCCCAAAAACTAATTATTTGTTTGTGTTGTCCCGTAGGAGAGCGGACAGCGCGAGGTAATCACATACCGCTGATCCAAGCACTTTGATTATATGCAGCCTGTTAACATCTCGCATTGTTTATCTAAATACGTTGTTTCAATGCTAAAATTAATAGTGTAGGCCTTTTTAGTTCCACTTCTGTCAGGATTGGCAACATCACAGTATCTTGCCAGTATAAATTTGTAATCAAATATTATTTTAATCTTGGAAATTAGTCATAATTTTAACTAATTTTGTTTGTCACTAAATAATAGTATATTTACTTATCAAGTGATTATCATGAAGTCAGTATAAATTTTTTGCCAGTCACTGTTTTTAATTGGATAAATTTCTAACCAGAATATCTATAATAACGCCTTAATAAATTATCACAACTTGAAACTTTGTTTAAATTAATTAATGTAATCCAAACTTGTTACAAAAGTCTAGACAACACTTTATAAAAAAAAAAATATTTAAAAGTTTTTAAGCATAAGAAATCTCAGCTTCTTTGACTGGATACAATTTTATTTAGTGAACAGTTTTAATTAAAAACTTCGCATTAAACTTTAAAAAGGCACAGCTAGTATTTCAAGTATCTGACTGAGACACTTAAATATAAAACCTATTGATTTTCTGTCCGTGCACGATGTCAACAGACTGCAAACGAGCATGAATGTAATGTAATGTGTTGGTTATACATATATAATGGTATTTATGTATAAAATATTGGAGTTATTTTTACAACTATCTCGTATACATAATATATTTATAAAAAAAATATATATACTTAACAAAAATTGACAATAATGTAGCTAAAATATTAATTTCTAATAATTATTGTTTAATATATTATGTGTACGAGATTTTATGGTAATATATTTTCGGGGAGGAATGCAAACTCAGACTTTATTCATCATCTGAGTAGTCATAGATGATTTTACTCGTATTTAGCGTGAAATAGCACTTTGAGTACATACAAAATTCATAGGTAGATAGTTCTTCTAAGTATCATTTCTCCAAACTTCACTCAAACTAACAATTTACTATTACTACGATCGATCCACGAGGTTGAATAAGCACAAATCTGTGACTAATCCACAAGGGGGTTGCAAGCAGTTTTATTTCACTTTATTTCCATTTTTGTTTTCTTTATTTTTTATTAAAAAAAAATCATGTAATCGCTGTTGTATTCTTGTCTGGTATATCGCCTCATAGGTTCATATAAGAAGTATCTAGACAGTAAATTGAAATGCATATGTGCCTGAGGTAATTAATTGTATTGTTGAAACTATTATATTTCCTCTATTATTTTTCTTTTGGCTTTGCAAATATATTTTGTGTGCATTTGGGCGACGTTCAAGCGAATTAGTAATTTATTGTGACGCTTTAATGACACATTTTGATTGTAGATCGTTCCTAACCTGGTGAGAATATTGAAGAATTTAATACTGGCCGGCTATTCGCCAGAGCATGACGTCAGCGGTGTCTCGGATCCTTTTCTTCAGGTAACAAGTGTTGCAGTACTTTTGAATATTACTAGAGTGTAGTTAGAAGCCCCATTGTTTGCTCGGACTAGTTAGCCAGTACTGATTAATGAGGTTAAACAAAACTCATGCTAGAAACACACTCGATATAATCATTGCGTCAAATATTCTTTTATTTTGCTTTATCTCAAATTATGCAGAGCTTAGACCAAATAACTGGTAAACAATATTTAAATATGTTTTTGTAACTACATACATATAATATACCTCCAGACAAATACAAACACGCATGATCCAATAACATTTGTTAAGAGTAATGGTATGCGCTCATTTCTAACCACATCTCTAACGTGTGTTGTCAAACATGGCGAAAATTTCGTTTATAAATATTTAAAAAATATATAATGTCCATACTGCAATTGATAGGGTTTCCTCCCGTGCTGGTCTATGCTCTGTTGTTTTATTCTACGGTCCTATTTTTTTTTTTTTTTTTTTTAAATAATTAAAGACAGTAATAAAATGTCTATGATAATATGAATCTTAAGTCGATAATATTAAATTCTCAATTTCAGGTGAAAATCCTCCGCCTCCTCAGAATATTGGGCAAGAACGACGCGGAAGCGTCAGAAGCCATGAACGACATCCTCGCACAGGTCGCCACCAACACGGAGACGAGCAAAAACGTTGGCAACACGATATTATACGAAACTGTACTTTCCATTATGGACATTAAGTCTGAAAGTAGCCTGCGAGTGCTGGCCATCAATATCCTAGGTCGCTTCCTGCTAAACAACGACAAGAATATACGTTATGTGGCGCTGAACACACTGCTACGGACGGTGCACGTCGATACATCGGCCGTGCAGAGGCATAGGACCACGATATTGGAATGTCTTAAGGTAAATAGGTATTTAAATGCAGGATTAATCATTAAATGTATACAAAGCTAAAAGCAGGAGCAGCAGTTCTAAATCTCATAATTATCATCATCTCAGCCAATATCCGTCCACTGCTGATCATAGGCCTCCCCTATAGACTGCCATAAGAAACGGTCCTGAGCCACCTGCATCCACTACCTTCCTGTAATGCATCAATGCAATGCTCCCTCCAATCTCAAAATAATTGTATACTATTTTGTTTTATTTATTTATTTATCTACAAGATACTCTTGAGGTGAGAGGTAAGAATGAAAAGGCAGATCAATTAGTCCACCGCAATAAATACACCTGAAATTCAATACAATGGTTACCAGGTGGGATCACGTGGAGAATCAAGGTAACAAAACCAATCCTTCCCTGCCTTTTCATTCTCGCCTATCATCACCCAATGGTATTCCGCCAGTATATACCGTTAGAGGAATGGAAATGGCAACCATCATTCCATTATCACGCAATGAAAAAAAGAATGAATCCATACTAGGATTTCCACTTTTATCAATTTTGTCACAAAGTCAATTTTTTTTTAAAGCAAAATTTTATATTATTATACCTATCTACCGCCAGGACCCAGACGTGTCGATCCGGCGGCGGGCAATGGAGCTCTCGTTCGCCCTGGTCAACGGCCAGAACATCCGCAGCATGATGAAGGAGCTGCTCACGTTCCTGGAGAGGTCGGACCCCGAGTTCAAGGCGCACTGCTCCAGCGCTATGGTGTTGGCCGCGGAACGATACGCCCCCTCCAACAAATGGCATCTAGATACGCTGTTCCGGGTGTTCTTGAAGGTATTTATAGTTTTTTTTTTTTACACTGCTGGAAAAACCAACAAATCGACGATTTATTTGATGGAAAATAGTTCTGTATATTAACAATGAATATGTAGCAGAATTTCTTTTATATTTGATAAGTATCTTCTAAAAGTAGGAAATCATCGATTCGTCTCTATTTTCGTAAGCATGTTACCCGATTTTAATAATTCTTTTTACAATTAATAGGGTTTCATCATTTCAGCTTTTAATGCTTGAGTTAATTCATTATTTAATATCTCCGAAATTTGTTGTTAAAAAAATTTGTGCTAAGCTTTTCTGACTTTTCATTTACCACTTTTTACTGCATGATACGAAAACATTACAATAAGAAAAATATTATAATTATTACTTGGTGGTTTGTATACCTATAACTGCGGAAACAAATTTCGGAGATATTAAGAAATTAATTTATTACGCCGGTCACAGTGACCGGTCCGCGGTTCGAGTGTTAACTGTTGCACATAAACCTTCCCCATAAGGAGAGTTTTGTCAGTAGTTGCCACGCTTGGAAGGTTTTTTTTTTTTACAACACAGGGGGCAAACGAGCATGCGGCTCACCTGATGGTAAGTGACTACCGCCGCCCATGGTCACCCACAACACCTACGGCATTGCAGGTGTGCTGCCGGCCTTTTAAAAAGGAATATGCTCTTTTCTTGAAGGTTATGTTGTCGTATCGGTTCGGAAATACTGCTGCTGGAAGTTGATTCCAAAGAGTGGTTGTGCGTGGAAGAAAGTGCCTTGAAAAACGCACGGTGGAGGACCGCCACTCGTCCAGATGGTTGGGATGAAATTTTAGTTTATGACGGGTTGTACGATGGTGAAAATCTGCAGCAGGTATCAATCCGAACAATTCTTCAGAGCACTCCCCATGATAAATTCGGTAGAAGATGCACAGAGATGCAACATCTCTACGCAGTTTCAGTGGGTCGAGCCGGACAGTAAGACGCCGATCGTCAACAATTCGAGCTGCCCGACTTTGAATGCGGTCTAACGGAAGGAGTTGGTACTGTGGCGCTCCTGCCCACAGGTGAGAACAGTATTCCATGTGTGGCCTCACTTGAGCTTTATACAGTTTCAGGCGGTTTTCTGGCGTGAAATACCGTCTCACCCTATTGAGCACCCCCAACTTTTTGGAAGCTATCTTAGCTTTTTCCTCCAGATGACCGCAAAACTGGACGTCGCTAGATATATCGACGCCAAGAATCCCCAGACTCGACTTATTATCAAGGGAAGTGCCCTGAAAGTGAGGTGATACGACAAACGGTGTCTTTTTTGCGGTGAACGCGCAGACTTGTGTCTTCTTAGGGTTAAAGTGAACAAGATTGCGTTCACCCCAGATCGAAACTTTATCGAGTGAAGTTTCGATTTCAGACACAAGTCTGTTCCGGAGCTCATCGGTATGTGCCCGCGAGATCTTTGCATGACCGGTGTATAATGCATCTCCTGTACTGTCGTCAGCATAACAATGAATATCACTGATCTGTAACATATCATTGATATGCAGAAGAAACAGTGTCGGAGATAGTACATAGCCTTGCGGGACACCAGCATTCACAGGTTTTAAGTCAGAGCATGCTCCGTCGACTACGACCTTAATGCTACGTTCCTTAAGAAAGCTGGCGACCCAACTGCACAATCTCGCAGGCAACCCAGGTGGGTTAACAACCGCAGTTAGACTTTTATAGATGTCTTAAGAAGGACGCTGCTACCTATCCGTCTACCATTGTGGTAGACCTATTTTATACCGGGGCCACACGGACAATCGATAGGGTTTACTCCAGTGTTATTCCCATAATATTTTTGTGAGCACTAAAGCCTGAGTTTTTTTTTTTTTTATAAAATAGATTTGCAAATGTGCAAAATAAATACTATTATACATTTTAACATATCAAAAACTCACTATAATTAGATAGATATATAATTAGTTAATTTCATAAAAATTCAAATCACAAAATTGTTAATAATTTTAGAATTTTTAATACATATACCATTATTGGAATTGTTTATACGAAGATGTAGTAATTTTAAGATTATGTTCCCGAGTATACCTAACTGTATGGTTCGCGTTGTCCACAGGCGGGTAACTACCTACGAGACGACACGGTGTCGTCGACTATCCAGATCGTGTCATCCGCGCCGATGGAACGGCAGGCGTACGCCAGCATGCGTCTGTGGACGGCGCTCGAACGATCCGCGATCTCCGGGGATGCCACTGAGAAGCAACCACTTGTGCAGGTAACAAAAATAGTGTATTATTATTAAACAAAATTCAAATTAAGAAGGTTTGCGGTATAGTATTTAAGGCATCCCGTTCTCGCTATTGGATACGGGAAACTAAGAAGGAGAGATGGCAAATTAAATCCCGGCAGAAGCATAGTCGACCAGTGTTCCGAATCCCAGGTAGTGAAACCGACGTACTATGTGGACAGTATCTTTATCTTATCTATAAAAAACTCGTGCCACGGTATTTTTTATGTACATTTAATAGGTATGAAAATAGATCGTAAAGTATGTTTCATACTGCTAGGTGATTAAGGTGTCCCTAGCCAGAAAAAAATATTTATATGGCAGTACAAAATTTGCCGAATCATCTACTGTACATATATATTATAATCCTAAATACTAATACAAGATAAATAATATTTTTTTACGTTTAAGTCCTGCTATTACGAAGTAAAACTTCTCCGCACGTATTAAAGTACATAATTGAAGTCGCTTTTTATTACGGAGCGAGAGATGTTAAAAAGTCCAATTTGACAGGTGGCCGCGTGGACGATTGGCGAGTACGGTGATTTATTGGTGTCGGAGGCTAGCAACGCTATATCGATGGTCGACGAAGACGGCTTTGGTGAGTGCTCGTCATTATTTAAAAAGAATAATACACAAATATATTGTTTGATTCAGGAATATTTAAATAAAAGACATAAATAAAGTAGAAAGTAGGAAAAGGACGGCGTTTATTGTAGAAGTGTACAGAAGAACATAAGCAATCGTAACAAAAAAATGTTGACTTGTGTGAAATTTGAGTATTTATTTTTTTAGTTTTTATTTTTTTAATAAAGTTAATTTATGAATGATCGCAAACGTACATTATGCTTCAAAAAGATTGTCTCAAGTTTATAGCAACTTTATTTATTTATTATTATTTGACAAAAAAAAAACACAAAGTTACAAATACAAAATACAATGGGCCCCACACTAGGCGAACCTGTATCGTGGGCACCCGACAAAGATTAACAAATCACAATATTATAATATAAAGTACATAGCTATATATAACTGTGAACCTATTTTAATGATTCTTTTTATTTTCAATAGACCCATTAAATAAAAAAAAAGAATCATTGACATTGAAATCATTTATTAACATTGGCAAAATGGCAGTTTTTTTTATTTTGTCGTATGCACTGTAGTGGGTCATTTTATGGGTTTTTAAAAATAACTAGCTCTTATGTTACAGATGATTTCACTCGTCCATCCGAGGAGTATGTGATCGACATATACCAGAAGCTGCTGTGGTCCACCCAGCTCTCCATCACCACCAAGGAGTATTTACTGTTATCATTGGCGAAGCTCTCGACTAGATTCACCACGCAGCCCAGCCAAGAGTAAGTATAGTCATTCTTTTGAATTTTTTTTTAAATATATGAAATTGGCAATTTTATACATGATTACGATTTACGTTAGCAGCGTGTCAGTGAGAGATGATAGAAAACAAAAAAGTCAGATCCGCTGGTCCCTTGTGACTATCTCATTCTCTTTGCCAGGAAATCTCTGCCTAACCCCTCATTATTATTATTATTTTACACTTTATTGCACCAAGTAAAAAGAGAAATAACAAATATAGTAAATATTAATGAGAAGTGATACAAAAGGCGGCCTTATCGCTAAGCAATCTCTTCCAGACAACCTTTGGGTAGAGGACATTGAGAAAAAGACAAAGGGTAGGTGGCGCACTATTATATAAATATTATCATATACAAACATAATATAAATATTATCACATACATACATACACATACATATATAATATATACACAATTAAATATAACATACACATACTTAACAGCACACACATACAACAGAAAAAAAAAAATTACAAAAGAAAACGAAGAGAGAACACAGGAAAATAGTACCCCTCATCATTTCAGCCATTATCCATCGACTGCTGGACATAGACCTCTCCTATAGACTACCATAAGGAACGGTCCTGAGCCTCCTGCAACCACTGACTCCCTACAATGCATAGACCCATATAGATATATAATTTATATGATCGCTTTCTTTTCTTTTTCAGCAAAATCCGCGTGATTATAGATACATTCGGATCTCATATCCACATAGAGTTGCAACAGAGAGGGGTAGAACTTTCACAATTGTACAGGTATGTACATTTTTCATACATGAATGAATTTTTTTATCAATGTATCTTCTTCTTCAAGTGATTTCAAGCAGTTGTGTTTGCGTGGCTGTTTCGGTTTGAAGGATGGGATATGGCAGTCAATTTACAGGGTACAGAGGAATAACACCTGAGTCCTCAGGAATGGCAATGCATGGGGGTTTTGTTTTTTTGATGTGTGAAAATTGTATGGTAACCCCGCTTGCGCTAACGGTATACGCTTGCGGAGCACCAGTGAAGGGTGACAGATGAGAATGAAAACAGACCACTTAGCCCATCATGATGAATTCATCAGGAATTAACCATGATAGTTTCCAAGGAGAACCGTGAGGAGGTTGAATTGGTTGGGTATATTGCTAGCAATGGGATTCTCAGTCTCCATTACTAACAATCCCTTTCCCCCCTATGATTACATATTTACTTATTACATTATACCTATGTATCTATGAGTACATACAATATTTCATTGACTACCTACCCCTATTTTATAAGCTTTAACTTGAACAGTTATTAACGATTCAAAACAGAAATGTTGTCGCAAGTGTGATTTTCTAGTTACAGAACATAGATGTATGTGTAATTGTCTGTGACTTGTAAAAAAATATGGCTGTATGCTTTACAGGCAACACGCACACCTTCGGCCCGCTCTGCTGGAGCGCATGCCGGCGTTGGAGGCTCCCGGGCCGGCGGGACGCGATGACGACCAAGAGCCGCCCAGCAGCCCCACCAGCCTTCCTGCCAGCCCCACCCGTCCGCTGCCTGACCAGGTAATGTCTCCCGTCTCACTAGCTTGCCCCTTGAAGAGTACTGGCTGGTATGCCACGCTTGACCTAACAGCCTGATGGCCGACCAGGTCATTGTCTACTGGTCAGGGGATTGTTAGTATTGTAATCTAGCATCGCCATTGTCAGCAATGTTGTATCAGGGGGAGAGACTGTTAGTTATGGGGACTAGCTGTTTTATTGCTAGCAATGTACCCTGATCGACCTCTTCGCAGCCTCCCTGGACACGATCATACTAAATTCCAGGTTGAATTCATCACGCTGGGTTAAGTGATCTGCCTTTTCTCACTTATCACTCTTTCCCTCACTAGTAATTCGCCGGCCTACACCGTTCGTGCAAACGGAGCTACCAAACTATTACATTCATTTCATTTTAAATCTAATAATATAAAAGAGGAAAAAATAAGATTTCTGTTCTCGATATAAGTATTGAATATAGAAGTCATGATAAACTATAATCATGAGTTCTAAAATTCTAAATTAAAATTGGAGTAAATTATTATAATGTAACAATTATCGTGTACTTTCAGGACGCGCTGTTAGATCTCATCATAGGCTCGGACTCGTTGACGAACGGCGACGTGGAACACCAGCCCACACAAGCAGCGCCCACAAACAACAATACTAGTAGCAATGTATGTATATTTTATTATATATATTATATGTAAACATTTACAAAATTTTTAATTTCTAAAGTACACATATTGTATTGTAAGAACACCTGGATTAGCTTCGGGACCATCCTGTATCTTTAGTCCTGAGTGTCCGTGCAACGAATGCGAGCCTGAAACTAGCCGAGCATCCTTGACTAAAATACACTTAATCCGGCTGTTCTTACATTGAAATATATATGTTTTTTTTATACAATTTAGAAAGGCAAACAAGCTGACGGCCCACATGATGGAAAGTGGTAACCGTCGCCTATAAACATGAGCAGTACCATGGACATAACAGAGTATACTGTTTCGCCCATGATACCCCCCATGCGTTGCCATTCCTGAGGATACAGGTGTTATTCCTCTGTACTCAGTAAATTCACGCCATATCCTACCCTTCAAACCGAAACACAGCCATGCAAACAACTGCTTCACGGTTGAAACACAAATGGGGCAGAGGCAAGACAAGCAATTGACTTTTATACAAAGTCTTTTTTACCCGCTACCTAATTACCAAGATACATTTATTGACCGGAATAATAAGTATATATCCTTTTCCATCCCATATCGAGTAGTACCAAATATACCAAATTTCATACTGTTTGGTAAAGCCCTTAATGTGCTATATGGTATCAAACAAACAAACGCATTTTTACATTTATAATATTAGTAATGCTTGTTAATAATACAAACAGATTATGGATTTTGGTGTGAAATATTATTATTCCCCAGGACATCCTGGACCTGCTGAGCGGACTGGACCTATCGTCGCCTGCGCCCGCGCCGGCGGTCAGCGTGGCCAACAACAACGCGGCGCCGCCCGCGCCCGCCAGCCTGCTGCTCGACGGACTCTTCACCGCGCACCAGTCGGAACAGATTGCACAAGGTACCGCACCACGCTGACTTGTTAATCAATCAATAAATTACTTTATTTGCTGAATTTTTTTTGATGGGTGAAAATGGTATGGTAACCCCGCCTGCGCTAACGGGATACGCTGGCGGAGCACCAGTGAAGGGTGATAGATGAGAATGAAAACAGGCCAGTTAGCCCATCATGATGAATTCATCAGGAATTAACCATGATAGTTTCCAGGGGGAACCGCGAGGAGGTCGGCCTGATTGGGTATATTGCTAGCAATGGGGTTCTCAGTCTCCATTACTAACAATTCCTTCCCCCCCCCCCCCATTTGCTGAATATTAGTATTACCAAGATGGTACTGTTTTTTTTTTAATGGATGATAGTGGAATGGTAACCCTGCCTGCACTTATGGTATACGCTGGCAGAAACACGTTAGAATATATTGTTAGCAATGGGACTAATAATCCTCATTAGTAACAACCCCCCCCCCCTTGGTGGTACTATTATACCCAAGCAGTGTAGGGCTTGGAAGTCCACCCACCATAGTCAGCAATTTTGCTCCTCTTGTTTTTAAATTAGTTAAATCTGTTCTGAGCCTTCAAAGTGAACGGTAGCCTAAGGACATACGCGACGAATTGTCCTAAGTTTCCTTATTAATTAATAAATTGTCGCGAGTGTAAACAGTTTTTTTTTTTTTTTTTAATAAAGACCTGTTTAAGGAAATCCGTATAACAATATGTAAGTGATAAATTTTAGTCCCTTTATATTCTGCCCTGTATTGGCGTGCAAATTATTTTAACAATATGTATTTGTAAAAATTACATATATAATAAATGGTAAGTTGTTTACATAGAATAGGCCACGCCTTCCTTACCCGTGGATGTTGTAAAAGCCAACTAACCGAAGGCGAGAGATGAACAGCAGCGTCTCTCTTAAAACATCTCTAAATGTTGACTGTGGCTGCCAATCCGTCTGTTAAGTTTAGCAACTACTGGCAAAACCCCCAAGAGGAAACCTTATGGTCAACAGTGGACAGTTAAAGGCTAATATGATGATTAAATGATGGTGAAGTTATTTACAAATATAGCGTTTATATTTGGCCTTTGTTTCTATCATTCAGATATGTATCTATTTATGTACTTTTTTCACAAATCATCACAATATAACACTCTTGTTGGTAGCAGAACTGCCGTCCGTAGTGGCCCTGGACAAGAACGGGCTACGGATCACGCTGGATGTGCAGCGGGCGGCCGGCGGCGACGCGGCGCTGACGATGCGTGCCTCCAACTCTACCGCCTCCACGCTCACTGATTTCCTGTTCCAGGCTGCCGTGCCGAGGGTGTGTATCCAGGAAGCAATCAAAATAAGGACTGACTGTCATTGTTTTCTTTTTTTTTTTTTTCATTTATTTGGGTAAATTAACAATAACAAAATAAAGAATAATAGATGATATCAATTAAAGAAAACATTGAGTAAATTTGCCACAACACCGTTTATCACAGATTCAATTCAAATATAATACAAATAGTCTAAAAGCAAACAAGAACAGTTAAAATATATGTGAAGTTTATAAAGATTCAGGGTCCATCAGATCCTCTACCTGAACAAGTTTTAGGTTTACTAGATTTCGCCTAATTCTGAAATTTCAGACCCCATATTACATTATGGGATTTTTAATGGGTAAAAGATATTACTCAACCAAAACTCTAAGAGAAAACAGCATGTAACAAAAATGAAAGGAAAATGTTACTAAACTGTAATATTTGTTTGTCAATTCCAGACTTTCCGATTAGATATGATGTCACCTTCAGCCACCGTGCTGCCGCCACAGGGAGAGATTACGCAGGTGTTAAAAGTTAACAATCCCACAAGGGTAAGTTATGATAATTGTTTTATATAAAGCTTATTATATTGTCCCATTCATTATGAATCAAAGAATATGTATACGCTTCATAATCTAAATCACATAATTGGACTACACTTGTGTGACAGTTTACGAGGCTCTCGCGCCATTGTTTTTTACTTGTTAATTTTTTATCTTGTTTATGGTCGTATTGCTTTCATCTTTTTTGCACTGTCATGTCTACGTTAATAAGGACAACTAACAATTTTATGCATCGTTATAATTTTACAAATAAATGATCCCAAATTAATCAGGAAAGGATTTTTTTTTTTTTCTAAATCGAAATATACTCTTGAAATATATTTACTGAAATATTTTTGCTTATTTCTTTTAGTAATTAAGCTGAGTAGAATAAAAATATATAAAGAATGTTGCTTATATAGAGCGTTCACTGTAATATGTATTATTTTTATATATATCCGGATTTTTTTCCATGACAAATATACGATGTACATTCATATTTACATCATGTTTGCAGTCAGCGCTTCGGCTACGGATACGCGTGTCCTACAACGTGGACGGCAACCCAGTGTTGGAGCAAGCAGAGGTCAACAACTTCCCCGCGGACCTGTTCAACTGACGAGTGGCCAACCCTCCCGGCTACTGCCTGTAGCCACGCGACCATCTGTCAATCTAACAGTACTGAACAGTGGCTAACACTCACCGCAACGATACTTCACTGGCTGTGTACTGACCACAATCGTATTAATCTTAAACCGGAATGGAATATCACTCACGGTCATTTTTCTATTTGACGGTAAATGTGTAGAAACCGGTACTGTTTCGATTTTATTATCCAGACTTGTGACAAAGGCCTAGAACACACGACGCAACTTATCAAAGAGCAGTACTAATTTTTAAGTTTTACACGCGACGCGCAATAGCAACTAGTTTAAAATAAATAGTTGATTAGTTGTATTGTGAAATCTTCTTATAAAAACACCATCTGAATTTCACTTACACTCTTATATACATAACTATTGTCAACTAAAACTGGTATTATTGCAAGAGTGTTTCATTTAGATCGCTCTATGTGTCCATATAGCAATAGTTTTAACCTAGTTACTTAAAAGGGGTTTTATTAAAACAAAAATTGTGTTCCACAAAATCTAAAAAGAACTATAACATTAATCGTTGCAATTTAATGGATATGGGAGTAAACTATCGATTTTATAAAAAAAACCATAGTCGTATTCATGGAGTGGGGGGAGGGGAGATATGCAGATCGACTCACTAAACCTGTCTCTAAAACAAAAATTTTTTGCAAAATCTTTATTGTAAGGACCAATATGAACTAATTTTCCAATAGGTTTCAGTTACAACTATTATGATTTTAGTTTATAGATGGTTCGTAAAACAATAGATTCGTGAAATTATCAAATTAAAAGACACCTCAGAATCGGTCCCATTGTCTAACATACTCGAAGCAAAAAATACAGGCAAATTGTTAGTTTATTTTTAAGTTTCTTAATAACAAATTTTGTCTTTTTCTTAGTGTGTTCTGGGACTAAATCGCGTAAGAATTACTTGACATTGAATGATCGTCGTTTTCCTTTGCCTGATCATGAAGACTGACGCTCGGTTCCATGTATTATTCAAACAGCAATAAATCTCACGTGCGCCATCTGTTGAGATAATTAATATATAACCGGCACAGGTTAGAGATTTGTAAACATTCCAATTGTTTTAGATTTGTTTCTACTAAAATATTACACATTATTAAATTAGGCTTACTGTTGTGGAATATTAAATATATTGTACCTGACCATAAAAATAAAAAAACGAAATTTTAAATACAATAGTATTTTAATTATGGTATTATAAGGCAAACTGTGACATGGCCAGTATTTTTAATTTGGAAACTTGGCAACAAATTTGTAATATAATTCTCCAAACGGTTTACAATTTTTCAAGAAAAAAAAAGTATCCGAGAGCCTAATGGAAGCAAGTGGTTGACAAGTGTGTTATTCTAAATTTGAGTAAACTGGTTGTGATTGATAGAAAAAGCATTTAACAGTAGTTAAATTCCAGATAAAGTTTAAATACTGTAGTACATAATAGAATATTCATAGTTGACTGATAGAGAACGCTGTTGTGTTGTGCATTGAAATTTAATAAACGAAATATAAAAAAAAAATCACACAATGTCATGACAGTAGACAATTATCATAACGTATTTTTTATTTTTCTGGTCAGTAAAAGCAATCTAGCGGGCATATTTGTAGCGTTAGTTAAATCTCGTATTATTTTTTAAAATAAATTCTATTATTTATATTTCAAATAATAATGTAATTATATTCAAATCTTGGAACACCTATCGAAATATCATATTACGAACTCCGTTATATTTTTTTTTTCAAATACATAGCTTTAACGTACTTTCTTTCAATTTACTTATCAATGTGGCCTTTTACTAAATAACAGGAAGAATAAACGAAGAAATGAACACAATAAATCTCCATGATATATCGGTCGGGTTTTAGAATTGCATATTTGTAAGGTAAATCATGAAATTTCATGTCGTGTTGCTTGTATATAAATTGAGAGTGTGAATGTAACATACGATGTATAGGAAGGTGTAAAGGGCCTGTATGGAATGTACTTAATATACTATAATAGAATCACCATTATGATATAATCTATGTGTGATAAATCTGTTTTTATTTTATACCTGGCATATTTTGTTAACGATTCTGGTGTGTCTTTTGTTTGTTATTTAGGTATGAAGGCAGAACTTTTTAGGAATGTCAATGCATGAGAAGTACTATTGGTGTCACAGTGTATTCTGTTATAACCATAATATAATGTTGATTAATGACTGTTGTATAATTTCTTTCCATGTGGTTTGCCATTCCATAGCGAATAAAAAGAAATTAAATAATGAATTTAATATATTTAAAAATATTTCTATTACTAAATTACTTATATTATTAAATTACTAAATTTGCCAAGTATAAAAAAACAGGTTGTAGTAATATGTGTCGAAGGATTCCTTGTTGTATAAACTCCTCAGTTGGAAGTATAGATGTCTGCCATTTATTGCTTATAATCGTATGTGATATTTAGTAAGCAACTCACTTTTTTTTTCATATTACATATGTGATTCATATCTTCAACTTGACAGTAAACTATTTATCTATGGTAGTGTTCCTAGTGTTCTCTAGCTAGGTACATGATTTTTACTTTACTGTATATAAACTTCGAATTGCTGACAGCTCACATACGACTAGTATTGACTTGAATGGCAGGACGTATTTTAATTTATTAATCAAATCATTTCAATATAATTCTAGTTTTATAGTAAACATTATTCCCTATGCATTTGGTTAAGAGTAGATATTTATAAATGAATTCTTGACGACTACGATCGTCAGATACGTAGCTTATGATTTTTTAAGTCATCATAAATTTTTTTATATTCACAACATCTGTAAATAAATTCTATTATACAAGTGTATGCTAACATTTTTACTCCCATTTTGATGTCTAAGACATTTTAACATGTAGGACTTAATTTTGTTATTATTTCGCTCTATTTATGTTTAGGTTAACACTAACCAGCACATTTCTAAGAAAATATAATAATAGACGTAAATTAGATACAATTGGAAACCACAGATGGAATAGATAGTCGCACTGCTCCCTGCACTTACTTTCTTTTTATATATATAACTGTGAAAGCAGCATTCATATAATCATGAAAATATAAATATATATACATAATTTATATAAAGAGAGCTTGGCGAGATATATAATAATTTGGTGCTTGTTTTATCATAAAATATCTGATTAAATAGAAGGCCCTCCACAATGTGAGATGTTATGATTTTGTGTATAACTAAAGCTATGTGAAAGATGTACATAATGATTATAATGATTTTATGTAAATTGGTTAATAAATATTTGAAAATGTTTATATAATCAATTGATTGTTTTATTTCAATCGTATAAAACATAAAAAAATCGGGTCATAGACATTTAAACCTGTCGAAAAGAGGTCACAATTACGGAAACACTCTCTTGAATCAGATGTATGTACAAAGTCAAGTGGACAATCTAAAAGATGCATTTAACAACACACTTTATGGCTACTCTGTAAATACTCCATGATTATAATGTCAAAGAAACCTCAACTAGTCTAGAAAACAATATATTAAAAAAATAAGGCGCTAGAAATAAAATGTTTTAAATGAGTTACCATTATATTTATTAGCTTACATGTTTATATGAAATTCTCAATTTCTTAACAAAATGAAAAATAGTTTAATTACTCAATCATAGGTGTGGCAGGCGCTGGTCGGCCACTGACGCTGTTAAATAAGCGATCCTTGATCATTTGTGCCATTAAGCCATGGATCACTTCTATAGTTGTTTTGCAGGCATCCTTTGTAGCTTTTCCTAGTTTGTCTTCTGTACGTTTCTCATGAGGATCAGCACCAGCAACTATGAAACAGCCACGACCTGATGATAATAATATTCTTTCAACAAGCAATAACAGTTGTCAAAAGAATTATACAATCAGTTTCAATTATATTTCTAGGAAAATAAATCTCAAGAGAACCTCCGAGCTATTAATGGATCCCCTTTAGTACTCATTAACATTTTTATGAAGTGGCTCTTTACAACAAACCCACTTAATATTGACAATGTAATAACAGGTTGGACAAGATGATATTACCAAAGCAAAATATATAAACTCACCCAATGAGACTTCACTCTGCTCCAATTTATCGGAGAGATCAAAAATCTGCCCTGTTGTGTAATCGGCATTTGTAATAAGACTAGAACTGCTCAAAGTGTTCACCCAGTATTTGTTCCATAGAGAATCCAATAACCTCCTATCTAACGATGATTTAAAATAGGACACTTCAAGAGAATAGTATTGTTTGCAATGGACACCAAAATCTTCAATTTTGTTTAAAGGTATAGTTTGATATTCTGAGGGTTCCTCATTAGCTGGTTTGTAACCCTGAAATATCCAATACATTTCATTAGCACATTTTTTTATTTTCACCTATCAGTGAAAAAGTCATAACAGTAGTAAATAAATATGGAACCAAATTCTAAACAAGGAATCTAAATATTTATTAAATACATAATATTAAAAATTAACAATTTACTCACTTTAGGGTATGTTCTAAAAGCGCCCAAACACACTTTTCCAGCGGAGATAGTCCTAACAGGATCAATGACAATAGCTACAAATGGCTCCTGAAAGTTCTGGTTAAGCATTTGTGTGGAGACATCAATTCCAGAGAGCCAGCACCCATAACCGGGATGGCTGTGATACCAACCAATTGCATTCTCATGTCGACCAACCTGCCAAGTACAAATAGTGATAACTAGATGTTACTTCTTTCTTCAAAAATATTTGTTTTATTATATACTAGCGACCTGCCCTGGCTTTGCATGATTCCAATGCTGAACCCACACTTATCTCTAAGAGATAGACATATACCATCGTGGACTTTTTATTGACCTTTTTATGGTGTACAATACTGTAGTACATTATTTTGATTTATCTCATGAGGTTCAGCCATCGTTTGCAATGTAAGTGCAAAAAAATGTGTTTATTTATGACAACACATTAAATACCTTTAAATTTGTCAGTGTTCCTCTACTATATTATGCATGTATTATATAAACCTTCCTCTTGAATCACTCTATCTATTAAAAAACCGGTTCAAAATCTGTTGTGTAGTTTAAACATTTAAGCATACATAGGGACAGACAGATAGCGACTTTGTTTTATACTATGCAGTGATAAGAAACTAAGCAATGAAAATCTGGGAAGACAATAAAATTTGACTCAAAATATTGTTTCAAAACAATTAAATGTAAGAGGAATCCTTTCATCTTAAAAGGTTATTTTTATCTTAATCTAAACAAAAGTATAGTTTTCAATCTTGCTATCTTTTTTTATAATATTATAGTGACAAACCAGCATATAGCCCATCTAATGGTAAACAGGGTTACCATAGCTTATTGACGCCTGTTACACCAGGGTATTATATGCACATTGCAGACTCTTAAGAAACTTCATATGCTCTTTTTGAAGAACCCCATGCTGTAGCCTCAAGGGAAATCTTCATTCATCCTCACATATATATAGACAAAGATTCTGTGTATTTGTTCCAACATCATGCAAAACTAGTACATCAAATTGAACGCAACTTTCACACTTATGTTTCTGAAGATATGACTTAACATATGGTATATGTTTTGTCATGATATGCTATCTAGAAATGGTTTCATAATCAAAATGCACATAATCTGTATGGTATTGGAGATAAAACCTAATTTGAAATAATTTTAATATTGATCCAACCATTTCTTAGAACATAAAAATTACGGTCAATGAATTCCTAGATTAATTAAGACATAGGGCAATTTAAAAGACTAATTAAATACCTGTTTTGCTGCTTCTATGTAAGCTGTCATATATTCATAAGCTTGTGCTTGTGCATTCACCCGTGTTTCTGTCCCTTCTACAGGCAAGGCAAAGGAATCCATTACAATCATAGTATTTGCATCTACTTTCCCTGAAAATTAAAATAATTGTTTGACATAAAAAGTACTGTCATTAAATGTGATAATTTAATCTTCCTAATATTTACATACCCAGCAAAAGTCCCATAACTTCAAGAGTACCTCCGGAACGAGCGTGCATTACCATTTTTAGTAAAGCTAATGCAGAAATTTTAATATCCTTAAAAAAATGTGGACTGAAACAAACATTTTTAATGAATTCGCATAAACATTTAATGATAAAGGTTGTGTGAATTAATAAGTTTTAAACAGAAATACTAACTCTTTCTCCCATGGTTTTGCCGTGAGGATGTCTTGTTGTTGTTTTTTATCATAGCGGTAAATATCATCGACGCTCGAAACAGTTTCAATATTATTTGCCATTACCCATGTCTTTTGAGCTATCGTCGACTGTGAATCCGCACTAGTGGACGCCATGCTGAAAACACAATATGAATTTATATAAAAACTTTGGTAATGAGCGTATTATTTTCGTGTATTAAGTAATTTACTTTGTAATCCTTGAGTCTACTATTTATTTCATTTAGATAAAATTAATTAAAGACTAATTTTTCTGACTTGAAAAACCTGGATATGAAAATAAAAATTATATGACAGTTCATTCACATTCACAAACAAAAATAGTCATTCGTATGTCAGTCAGGCAATATCACAATCTCAATCTGTCAATATTGACTGTTGCTTAGATAGTGTAGATCCAGAATACGTACCTATTTTATTTTCCTAATCAATGGTGGTTTTTTTTGCATGATGGTGGGACACCAGTGAGAAATGATAAATAAGTATAAAAAGACAGGTCAATTAGACCATCTTGATGAATTGAATGAATCACTGGAATTCAAAGCGATGGTTTCCAAGGGGGACCACGTGGAAGTCGACCAGATAGAGTATATTGCTAGCAATGGAACTGGTAGTCCACATTACTAATAATCCCTTCCCTACAAATAATGGTGGTAAAAGTATCTATTATTTTCTCAAGTCAATTTTCTTAAGTTTTCTTCCAACTTTTCATTGGAAATAAAAGACTAAACTTGACAAAAAAGGCTGGGTGTTTTATTTTATTAATACAACATATTTTAAATTTACAATACTTAGCTGTCAATCATAGTTTACAAACTGTTAGAGATACTTCTTCAGTTCATATTTTATACTAACTGTATTCCGTCGCTTCGCCCACGTGAATCAATACAAACAGGATCCTAAATGTTAAATTAGGATATACTTAACTTATCGGTGTACCAAATTTCATTCAAATCCATTTTATAGTTTTTGCATATTTTATTACAAATTTTCGCATTTACAATATTAATAGAATATAAAGGAGTCTGTAGATGTAGTAGACAGCAAGATTAGATTTAATTTGCTGGCATATCACTCATGGACTTATAAATTAAAATGTCTAGAATACAGATGAAAACCAAATAATCGACGAGAGCAAAGTAAATAAACTATTGTACATTACATAACATAGGTTCTTATGGACTATACCAACAACAAATAATGAATTATCAGCTATGGGAAAGAACACGTGCAAAGTATATACACGTACCTAATGTAGATTTGTGAGTAATCATAAATTATTTCGAGATTTTGTCCCTCGTACTGATGTATTTGTATTTCTTTATTTTATTGACTTTTTACAACCTTACAACATTCTGTAGATCAAAACTCTCACCACTCAGAGGCTTATAGAAGGTTTCGTTAAGTGATAGTAATAGTAGATAGATCTATTATATTTTTATTTTTGTTGGTTTCCAGAGTGGACCAAGTGGAAGTCGACCTTATAGAGTATATTTCCCCCGGTATATTATATTACCTTGTCCTGTATTAAAATGTCTTCATATTGCAGTTACACTATTTACTTCATATTGCAATTGCACCTAAATAATAGCAGTCGGGGGAAAAAAGGATTGTTAGTAATGGAGACTAAACATCCCATTGCTAGCAATATACCTAACCAGGTCGACCTCCACGCGGTTCCCCCTGGAAACTGTCATGATTAATTCTTCATGATGAATTCATCATGATAGGTTACTGTTACGGTTAACTGGCCTATTTTCATTCTCATCGATCACCCTTCACTGGTGATCCGCCAGCGTATCCCGTTAGCGCAGGCGGGGTTAATGTATTGAGAGTTCTTTTCCAGGGGAGACTGGCCTCTAAAAAGAGTTTGTATGTACTTTAAGAAATGTAAACTAACCCACAACTAAAAACTTCGCTTATGATCTTAGAGTGGGACAATTCGGGGGTGGGTACGGACCGCCCGGTCCTTGCTTTAAATACGCCTACGATAGTAGTATTTATTGATCGATTCGTACAGCTACTTACTTATGTACTAGATAATTCTATAGTAATTTTTAAACTAATTGCTAAATATATATATGTTATAAAAAATTAAAATGTTGGCATATGACTTTATGATATTTTACAATAAAGGTGAAGATTTGCATCATCCTAATACTCTGTACACTTCCGTTATATCTCTATTGCGTAAAACTTTAATTTTATGAATAAATTTTTGTTACTCATTAGTTTCTTTTTCTACTCGTGAGTTCGTAATTCACTGACAGTAGTATGACTGTTTACCTTCGAATGAATTTCATATATACACCTTAGTTGTAGACATACCTAAGATAAAATTAACAAAGGGCATGACCGCATACGAAATCATTTCAAATATTGCATCATGTTATGCCGGCGCCGGCTCTTTTTCATATTATCAATGACTAATTGTTTACGTTATGTATTTACTACGAAATAAACTAAAAATAGTCGATGTTCTCTGATCCTGATTAATTATTTTATTATCTCGTTATTATGAATCTATAATTATTACTGATTGATATTTATATATAGGTTTAAAAAAAAAACACTAGGCATTTATATTATTGTAGTAACTGCATATAAAAAAAAAAAAGCTAATAATCTTTGATATCCAAAAAATATAAAATACCTAATATAATAATACAAATTTATCGGTATAGAAAGGAATTTCAACCTAATCAATGTATTATTTAATTTAATCGTCGCATAACGTCATTATTAAGTTATGACAAATTGATTTTCCCGCCATATTCGAAGTAAAAAAGATGTGACGCCAATGGGATATCCTGTTTTAACTTACTAAAATAATACAGCTAACTCTGTCTAACAGATAAGGAGAACAATCCGCCCATCGTATCGATCCACCAATCAGAACGCACCACATACACCGTTCGAAAAATGTATGAAACCCCTTTAATACGCAAGTTGTGCTCGATAATGTACGACGCAATCGTTTGTTATTCACTCGCGGAAATATATCGCAGTAAAGTGCTCTAGCAAATGGTGGATACGGGAAATCAAAATTAGCATGCGAGCGTCAAGACGTTAAATACTGTGTTTCACCTGGTGTGTGGAGTGTTTATTTGTGTTTTGAAGTATTATCTCGGATATCACAATGAGTGCACCGATCATTATCACTGTCCCAAATAACTACCTGGCGGTGGAGGAGATGGACTCCGATGTTGTAGTCGACGTCACCTCTGCTCCACCGTCTAGGAAGCGACGGCTGGATCATCTAACATGGGAGGAGAAGATGCAAAGAAAGTGAGTCATGACAAGCTTGTTGATTCTGTAGACAATAACGGGACCAGAGCTCAAATTATATTGGTTATCGCGGCGCTAATTTGGTTATTCAACGTTCATTGACCCATAGGTACGGCTTAGTATTCAATCACAATAAAATGTTATTAAAATTTTGTCCATTGCAACTAATAAAAATTGAGCTCTTTAAATAGTTTATAAAAATATCACTTGGCTTTCATCTATAATTGAGTTCAATACTGTTAGTAATGTTTTATTAGGTATGTGCCTATTAAAATGACGCATCACTGATGCCACGGATGCTGTGACTTCCATTATCGTCAAATTGTAATTTACTGCTGCATTAAAATATTAAAGTACTTGTAATTTTTATTTATACAAGTAACATGTATTTTGTAGAATATCATCGTTATTCAATGATAATTATAAGGAAAAATACTCAATAAAAGCATAAATTATTTAAACAGGAAATTAAAGAATCGCGTGGCAGCACAAACATCGCGCGACAGGAAAAAGGCCAAAATGGACGAGATGGAACATCGCCTACAGGAGTTCATGGAGGCGAACAAACGATTGACCAGCGAGGTGGAGAGTTTGAAGGCGTTGAACGAGCGTTTGCTCAGCGAGAACGCTGCGTTACGCAGCGAGGCGGCGGCGCGGACCGTCGCGGGGGCCCCAGGACCGGCAGAGTCTCCTCAGCAGAAGGACGGGCCCCCGCCGGCGATCCGCGCGGCGCGCATGCTGCTGACGATGTTGCTCCTCTCGCAGACATCCTCGCGCACCTCGACTCTGAAGAGTACCTCGATAGCCTCCATCAACTTGCAGACTCCTTATTACAAGAAATTGGCGCAAGTGTTGCAGGAGCGGCTGAACATGTAAGTGCTCTTCAAAGATGTACAGATCTTTACTTCACCTTCCCTTAAAAAAATAAATTTAATCAGCCTTGATTAGATTTATTTAGAAGCCTTACCATCATAGAAAGTGTAAATATATAATATCACCACATAGGATCACTCAATAAAAAATTGTTTTCAAAATCCGAAATTGTAGATTTCTTAAAATAAATCATTATAGATTTCTCTCAGGTTCAAAATGTTTGTTTCCAGAACAAAACGTCATAAACTATCTACAAATAACATTACTTTTATCGAATGCTTTTAAAATTTGAATGTAATCAAACTTTTTTCTTCAACTCAGGTCTCAGACAGGAAAACTGGAGAGTGCCCTGAAGGAGCTCAAGTGGTGGGGACCGCAGCAGAACACCTGGAATCCGGTGAAGGTGCAGTCGTAGACATCAAACATGATGTAGACAGAATACTGTCCCAGCACTCTTATGCTCATCCCTACGCACCCGACATTGTCGTAACAGAGCCTAAAGAAATTGTACAAATAAAGCAAGAAAATGAGAACGACAAAGGAGACATATTCTATGCTAGTTTCGATGAAGCCAATGACTGCATCACCGTCGAAGTGCCATGCGAAGACCAAGTGGAGGAAGTGGCACCTATACACGTGGATACAGAGTTCAAATTGGCCACAGATGAATTTAAATTGGAGAATGAAATGAAAATGTTGTCACCGATGAGCTTGTCGCCTAGCTCGGCGGACGTGAACTTCTTAGGACTATCTCCGGCACACACAAGTCTTAGTTCTGATTTGGGTTATGAATCATTGGCCTCACCGCTTAGTGAACCAGAATCGTTAGACCTGTCAGAATTTTGGTGCGAATCATTTTCAGAACTGTTTCCCGGATTAGCGTAGGGGACTTTCTGAATTCTTTTTCACCAAAGACTGATTAGGCCTAAGTGTTATTGAATCTATTATAGACAATTAAGTTGTACAGTTTATTTAGGTTAAGTTAATTTTATATGTCAGTAGGAATGTGCATAATAATGAATTCACATTGATTTAATTAAACAGTGTTCTGTCGATACATGTCTTTTCTTTCATAATCAATTCCAGTCACCAGATAAACTCCAGATAAATTTAGATAACGCAAAGTATAGAATTTGCGTTATCTATACAGAGAAAAACCTGTGTTTTTTTTTATCTATAGTAGACGTGATTGATGTGTTCTATATTTTGCCATTGTGGCTAATTCCTAGTGAGCCAAAATCCTTAGTTCCTCTCCTGTCCTTCATTGGAATAACTCGATAACAGAAATCAATTAAGCAGGCGGTGTTATATTTCCTTTTTACAGTTTTACATGTATAAAAGATTTAAACCATAATGGAGTGTGTATTATTTATACTAAGTACATATAATATGATTGCATAAGCGTGGTTAATGTTAGGCATAACAGATTTCCCCGAGTCGATAACACGAATGGTTATCGGAGAATTATGCTTATTCATGTTATCGCAAATTAAAACTATTCAGTGAATCCCAAACATGATAAGTTAACAATCATCGGTGTACAAAAGCGATATAGAACATTCTACAAAATCCATGTTATCTACATACGAGTATACCTACCTATAATTTTTTTTTTAATGATATAATGGAATGGTAACCCCGCCTGCACTATCGGTATACGCTGCAGTAGCACCAGTAAAGGATGATAGGTGACAATGAAAGTAGGTCAGTTAGCCCATCGTGACGAATTCCACTAGAATAAACCACGATGGTTTCCAGGGGGAACTGCGTGGAGGTCGACCTGGTGGGGTATATTGCTAGCAATGGGTCAGTTAGACCCATACGAGTAGCTACATATGTATTTGAAAATTAAATAAAAATAAATTTAAAATGCTTCGAAAGATTATTAACTTTTTATTATATATTATAAGTAGTCTAAGTATATAGGTATGTGTGGACCGAATAAGACATACTTACATACTTTGAAAGTTAATTAAAAATCGATTTGAAATATTACCTACAAATGAATATTGACTAAAATTACTACTTGGGTATTGCAAAGCATTTATGTGGTATGTAAGTAAGAATATTGTATTAATAAAAAAAAGTGATAATAAAAGTGGTTCAAGAGGACAATAAACTATAGGACTAACTGTAGGAGCCGGGGGGGAAAGGGATTGTTAGTAATGGAGACTGAGAATCCCATTGCTAGCAATATACCCAACCAGGTGGACCTCCTCGCGGTTCTCCCTGGAAACTATCATGGTTGATTCCTAATGAATTCATCATGATGGGCTAACTGGCCTGTTTTCATTCTCATCTATCACCCTTCACTGCCCCACCAGCGTATCCCGTTAGCGCAGGCGGGGTTACCACACCATTTTCACCCATCAAAAAAAAAACCTGTAGGAGCCGAATTCAACTGATTAGGGGGAAAGGGATTGTTAGTAATGCGAACTACCAGTCCCGTTACTAGCAATATACCTTGTCAGGTCGACCTCCACGTGATTCCCCTGGAAACCATCGTGCTAAATTCCAGATGTATTTATTAAGATGGGCTTACTGACCTGCTTATTTATTCTCACTTATCATCCCTCACTGGTGCCCCGCCAGTGTATACCGTTAGCGCAGGCGGGGTTACCATTCCATTATCATACATTAAAAAAAAAACTATAGGAGCCATATGGGAACCCAAATGCATTTTTTTTTATTTTACACACCGTATTTATTTTCCGGAAGGCGGAGGAGGGGGAGGTGGTTAAAATAGGTGTATATGTACTTTCTGACCTGTTTTTACATAAAGCCGCAAGCTCCGCCCCTTATTCGGGGATGGGCACAAGACAATTCTAAAGATTTTTTTGTCGGAGCGCGAGTTCCTTCTAAAAAGGACGTCCTTGGTTAGTTTCTTTAACAATTCCATGACAAATCCGGCCTTGACTATACAATATTCATTATTATAGGAAATAAAATTTTTAAACATACAACAGAACTTCAAATGGTTGGGTGGTTGAAATATTAAAACTTCCATATAAAAAAACATTAAATATATTTGTTAAAATATTACAGATTCAATAAAATCATGTCTCTTACAGATTAAATACATAATTTACTGGCTATCTACCATCATTTTGACTCGCGGTTAATGTAACCCACACTCCCACACTGTTTCAACGTGTTATCAAGCCAACCAAGCGATAATGACAACTGTTCACGACCAATTGAACAAATAATAAATCCAATGAAATGTAATAACAATATAATAGCTCTCTGCCATACGAAATATACGTAGACACTCTTATCTACGTAGTTTATTTAAACAATATTATAATATTATTTATTTAAAACGTGTTGGTGGATATTTACATAATGAATGTCAACTATTCAGAATTAAATTCTTACATATTTTAATGTAATAACTACCGGTTTAATTTACGTATAATTAGGAGAAAGCTCGACTAGTTTCGTGACCAAGTCGTGATTCTTAATCATGAGCGGCTGTGACACGAGCGCCAGTCTGACTGCGTGCCTCGGCCTGTTGAACGCGAGCAGATTCAATTAATATCTTATATTGGCGAATATGCATTATACAGAAAGAATATTTAATTTGTTATACAGTATAAACATTATTTTAAGAGTTTTTATATGTATAATAAATAAATAAATAAAAAAGTGCAATAGATAGACTTTTTTATACCACAAATATGGCAAACAAGCACACAGACCGTCTGATGGGAAACGATCACTGTAGCCTATGGACTCCTACAACATTAAAGGTGTCATGTACGCGTTGCAGACCCTGAAGAAACCCTAATAAGAATTCAGTGTTTTGTACATTATAAATTTAATATTCGACCGTGAACAGTTGTCAGTGGTAAACGTCATTGTTTCACGAAATAAACACCTACTTTGTTTGCCCTTGGACTAAAAATAAAATTAAACTTAACGACATAAATTTTAAGGTTCTATTTAAAAACATCACAAAGTGTTCATTGAATATTGAACTTTAATAATTTTATTTTTAGTACAATTTTATCTTTTCGTGAAACGCACCTAACTGCCCAATAAACTTTGGCACACCTAACGAGCAGACTGCAAGCGATAACTACAACTAATTGGAGTAATAATATTTATATAACAACGTAGCAAATAACTGTACAGCGGGAATAATTAATCTAATGGAAGAATACATTTCAACTTAACCATTAAATTGTGAGACTGAACGAAGCATATCGTATATTAAGAAATTTAAAATCAAACGGTCCATTTAGTGATAATAACGAGAATTTGTAATAACGAGAATTCGTAATAACGAGAACTCGTGATAACAATGGTAATAATTAACGTTCCATCAGCATTTATTAAGCAATATAGATAGATAGATAGATAGATACTCTTTATTGTTTCCTTCAAAAACTTACAATAGTAAACTTATTATAGATACAAACAATTACAAGAAATAATCACAGCGACAAAACAATGTATGCACAATTTCCGTCAGACATTCAAAGGTTGACTGGAAAAAAACCTTTTTGGGTAATAAGTCCGCCATTGTACTCATTCTTTTCTCAAGAACTTTGTATCCTATAATTTAACACTTTACTGTACAACAGTGTTACAAACAAACAAACAAATAATATGCTGTTTCAACTAATAGTAGTTTCATGTATTACTAGTCGACTGAAAATGCATCTAGCGATTGTTAATCAATCAGTAAACATTCACAGTACACTAAGTAAGACGAGTACCATCGAAATTAAGAATTTACAAACAATTGCTACAAATAGTCTGTTAGATTAATTTTAAATTTGCGTTTACTTTGTAATGTCCATTTAATTTTAACTTTCTCATATTCGATGAAATACACACAAAACACTTGTATTTGTCACATAATATAATGGGGGTTTTTTATTCTAATATATATATATATATATATATATATATATATATATATATATATATATATATATATATATATATATATTATCTTTAACCATTACTAACTAGCATCCGACTTCACTAATTACTCATAGATATTGGAAATATTGTGAACATGTTTTATCATACATAATTGTATACATAAAAATATGAAACATAATTCCGAACTTTCGGGTCGAACTTTTATATGTAAGAAGGCTCAATTTAAATCGATTTTTCATTTTCAACATTTTTTCATTATATCTTCTAAAAATATTTTATACATACATACAGTATTCTGTATGGATTGTGTATGTTTGTTCCAGCATTATGCAAAATTAGTACACCAAATTGAATGGTCATCCATTTTAAACAATAGGAGAGCATTTTGTCAAAATCTCACCAAATATTACATCGACTTTTTAATATATTTTTTTTTATACAATTTAGAATGGCAAACAAGCTGACGGCACACACGATGGAAAGTGATAACCGTCGCCTATAGACATGAGCAGTACCATCGACATAACAGAGTACACTGTTTCGCCCATGATACCCCTCATGCGTTGCCATTCCTGAGGACTCAGATGTTATTCCTCTGTACCCTGTAAATTCACGCCATATCCCACCCTTCAAACCGAAACAGCCATGCAAACACAACGCTTTACGGTTGAAACACGAATGGGACAGAGGTACCCAAGCAATCGACTTTTGTACAAAGTCTCCCTCTAGTGAGTCATCTCCTTTAATTCCATTGAAATAAGCAAATGAACTGAAATATATTAACATATCGAGTACATTTAATAATATAAATCTCAAGCAAGGAGATTTATCAAATATTATTAATTCTCACAGAGGTAGTGGTTTGGAGATACACTTTTTTAAAAACCACCTCACCTAAATAATCAGCACCCACTTCGTATTTCGATCCCGAAATATCAGAAAAAAATTCTTGGTAGTTTAAAAGATAGTCTTATTAGGAAATTTGAGATAATTTTCATAGTAGGTACGCAGCCAAATAAATAGAGTGAACTAATCGCTGTTTCGATTACAAATTAACGGAGGCTCCCAGACGATAACAATAATGACTTCACAACATTACCTTATAATACACAAACATAATGATTTTAGAAATCTTACTAACAACTCTTATTAGCTACATTTTAATTGTCTGCGACACTTATTACTAATTGCACATCACGTAATTTCCCGAGAGACGTCCAGAATCTCGACATCTAATTTTAGAACAATTTTAGTACAAACATTGTAAATTAGTCCATCACATGCACTAGTTAGACATATTAAGTCACAGATAACTATGGTATCTCTAAACCTCCCGAAGGCCTACGTGACAAATCTTAATTGTACATTAATTTGTATGGCTTAAAATTTGTATCGTTCGATTCAATTTTGTTAAATACAGACACTCTTATTCTTTATTACGTCAATGAAGAAGTGTCAATTTTAAAAAGGCATTGATTGGATTTGCCGTAGAAACTTTTTATTTTACATTAGTCTATCTATATTTCTAGAATTTTATAAAACATAAAAAAAATATGACATTACATAAAAAAAAAAAACAGATAAACTTGATTTAAATATTTTTTTTGCAATGAAATCATCATGATGTATCCATAAACAAATTAATGCAAAATAATGCAATACAAGAGGATTTTCCAATAAAATCAATAATGCAATACAGTTTGTTTATTCATTTGATTAATGCTGATATAACAGAAAAATATAATGCATTGATGCATTTGCCAACTCATAGATCCAAATATAAGTACATTTTACTTGATTAAACACTCAAATGGTCACGAGATATGGAAATCCATTTATCAAATTAACAGGTAATTATCCGATGGAGTTGGTTTAGTTAACCGTCCAATCACTATTTATAATTTTTGTTTTAAACAAAAGCTATTGGTAGATTTTTTTTTAATCTATGAATAATATAAATCATATATTCTTTTTAATAAATGATAGCTTGAAAGATAACGCAACCATAAATTATTGTTTTCAACGAAGAGATTAGTACAGAACGGACTCTGATTACATATTTGATAACGAATAATCAAGTATTACGTAAGAAAAACTTACGGTAAGCAACAAAAATCAATTAACCTCAAAAACATCCTTAACAAGATTAACAGCAAAGTTTCGTCAACATACGTTTTGTAAATCAAAACAGGATGAATGGCTAGACGTTTTGAAAATTTTATATTTTTTTTATTTCATATCGACTTTTGGTGCTAACCGTACAGAGAAGAAATACAAGAAATTGATTTATCTACATATCAATATTAAAGTAAACATGATAAAGGCCATTTGTATTATTAAATTGTGCCAGTTACATTGCAGATGTGTGCAATTTGTTATAAAATTAAAAAAATATACCATATATTTATCATACATTTTAAAATAAGCCTGCTTTATTAAAAAAAAAATTAGGCTGCCTTCAATTTTGCGTAAAATTCTAAAAAAAGAACTATAAATTCAAATGGGCCGTAAATTCATATAGATTAGGCATATCGTATTATTTTTATACACTAACATTCAGTGTACAATTAAATACTGATACTAATTTCGATATTTATCAATCGATCGATTGTTAAACAGCGCCATCTTTTGTCAAAACAATATATTACTGATCGTTTTATCCAAACAGCTTGTCAAAGCAAGCGTGGCAGTACGGTTTGTCATTTTGTTCCTTGAAAGTGCCTTTGTTGAGTTGCCTGAGGCAAAATGCGCATACAAAATGTTCAGGGTGGAACTTCCTGAACATAGCTGTGATGCAGCGGCCGGCGATGGGTTTGTGGCAGCCGGCGCAGAGCGAGCCGCGCTTGCCGTGATAATGTGTCTCGCAGTAGGGCTGTCCCTCGTGTTCGAAAAATGATCCACCGTGGAATGGCTCGCGGCATTCCTGAAAAAGAATTTTTTTTTTAAAAAAAAACAGATATTGGTTTCGCCACCCCGTCACATTGTTGAATTTTATAACCAAACACCCACGGCGACGCCTCTTACAAGTCTGGCAGGTAGTGGTCTAGCTTTCGTATTGCAATATACCCTGTTTTTTTTTTTTTAATGAATGATAATGGTATGGTAATCCCACCTGTGCTAACGGTATACGCCGGCGGAACTTCAGTGAGGGATGATAGGTGAGAATGAAAAAGCAGCTCAGTTAGATCATCGTGATCAATTCATCTGGAATTCAGCACGATGGTTTCCAGGGGGAACTGCGTGGAGGTCGACCTGATAGTGCACATTACCAGCAATGGAGCTGTCAAACTCCATTGCTAACAATCCCTTCCCCCCCCCCCCCCAGCAATGGGACTGGTAGCCCGCATTACTTACTAACAAGCCCTTCCCCCCAGTATACCATGTTAGGTCGATCTCTTCGCGCCCCCCTCTGGAAACTATCATTCTTAGCTAACTGACCTGGCTTATCAACATCGATCAATTATCTCTTACTGGTGCCCCGCCAGCGTATACCGTTAGCGTGGGCGGGTTCGTATTCCATTATCACCTATTAAAAAAAAATAGTCCACTCGTTTGTCAACCTAAATACAAATCTATAATTATTATTACTTTATTTTTCATGTCCCTTACGGTGCGTAGCGTAGGCAGAGAGAGAGAGAGAGAGAGAGAGATATATCGAGTACCAAACATCTCTATCCTTACTTTATCCATTTTATATCTATCATACATATTTACTATCTGTTGCTTTATCCATTTACATATATAAGTAAAATTAAATTGAGATAATTTGTGTCTTTATGTATGTGTATGAAATATAAATACATGTATAATGTATATGTATAGACATGGATGTGTATATATATATATGTAATATTTATTACAGTTATTGATTCCTGACTGTAATGCACTATGGAATAAAATAGATTTAGATTATTATCCACTAGAAGCGCTGCTTTTCATCATATATGTTTGTAGAATTAAACTAATCAACTTGTACGCATTTTACAATAGAAAAACTATATTTACAAATGTTCTCTGGATTTCAACAAAATGTTGCAGTGAGTTTATAATTCATCGCGTGACAACATTGTATTTATAGTGCATAGTGATTTAAAAATAACATTTAACCCGTGTCCCATAAACAAAGCGGCTGATTTACGGCAGCCGGTGTGGCTGCAGACGCGTGCGACGTCATCCTACGGCTATTAATAGCGATCGAGTTCGGGAGTCGCGCGGGAAACCCTATACGCCTAGCACTTGACCTCGTTTACGTTTTGGTTACGTTTTTTACAGTTGTCCTTCATGGAAACACAACAATGGACTGATAAAAGGTCAATGCCACCGTTCACGGTGACCTTGACAGGTGCCCACCGCCCGACAAGATGACCCTGTAGGCGGTTCTGTTTTGTCATTTTTATATATTATTTTTTGGTTTGTTATTTTTTTTTCTTTTATTTTTGTTCTCTTTATTATAAATCTTAGCATTACAATAACATTACAAAAATATATTACATACATTATATCTATTAAGTTGTCTATACTATAGAGGTCGTATTATGTGTGTTTGTGTTGTTTTGTGTGTTGAAATAACATCCGTGTGTGTTGTGTACGCATTTCATTCCTTGGCCGTGTCATTCGGCGAGCATTGCTGTAAAAGAAAATTGGGGAGGGCATCCATTTTAGAGGGGGGGCTGATGTATCATTCCTTATTCATCTTCATCTACTCCAACGCATTTTGGGCATACCGGTTTTCCTTCCATGGCATAGAATGATTTGCCTTTGACGGGGTTTTGGCAGTCCTGTGATCGAAACCTCAAGTTAGATAGGGCGATACGATTGCTCAAAGATTAAGATCAATAGTAATCTATTGAGCATTTGGCAGAAGGTACTTTACCTGGCGTAGACGCTTTCCTAGATAAAAATTTTGGAGCTTAAATCAAACCTTTCGCGGGTATTACTTCAGCCATCGGAAGTAAAGGGAGTCCTGTAAAAATTTCATACTGACCTTGCATACGAAGCAATCTGGATGCCATTGTGTGTTGAGCGCGGATATGTAATTCTCCATAATGGGCTTATTGCAGCCACCGCATTTTGGCGCGAACATGTCGAAGTAGTCAGCGCGGCAGTAAGGCTTCCCGTCCCTCTCGTGGAAGCCATCTTCGCCGAACTGTTGACCGCACTGAGCGCAGAAGAAATGCTCTGTGTGCCATGTTTTCTCCAAAGCCGTCACACATTTCTGAAACAGAAAATGTACTTTGTCTTATAAATGTACTTGTAAGAACATAAAATCTGAAATGATCCACTGAATATTTTCAAAAACTAACATCAAGGATAGGACCGTTGCAGTATGCGCATCTCGGCGAGAACAGGTTGTGGTAGTCCGGTTCGCAATAAGGTCTGCCTTCGCGTTCGAAGAAATTTCTTGTGCCCAACTCTTGGTTGCAGTGAGCGCAAGTGAAGTGCTCAGGGTGCCACGTGCGGCCCAAAGCGGTGATGACCTGCACCAAAAAACCGTATTATTATCATCACTCGCTTCAAAAAGTAACACTAAAGGAGCAGTTCCGATTTTCACTTCAATCCAATAACTATCGTCGGATGATGTGGAACCCTAATTCCTGCTCCAAACACGATCCAATAACCACCTGTCCGACGATGGGCTTTTCGCACGCATTGCAGCATCCCTTCTGGGGGGTTTGTACTCCTTGGCGGCTCATGTCTGCCCGGAGGGATCCGAGCATATGCTCGAGAGAGGCGGATTCGGGTTGCCGCGGGCTACTGCGGTAGTGTTCTTGCCACGCGCGTTTCTCCCGATACACGTGAGTTCCGCCTTCTCCTCCTGCGCCGCTTACCTGAAAATTAGAAAGAAATTTATAAAACTGATGTTTCTATTGCTTTGCCGTCACCAATTTTGACGAAAGAGCAATAACATAAACTGGGAAGTACTCCACTTTGGATCTTTGACTCGAGTCGAAGACCAGAACGATTCAAGGCAAAGATCGCAAATTGAAGCCTAACGTACAGAAGGTAACACCGTCCGCCCGTGGTGGACTGAAGCGAATGCGGTCCGAGTGAAATGTTTGACTAAGTACTCTAATATTATAAGCTCGCGGCCCCACCACGCCTGTGATGTAACGCTCCGAACTATCTTTAGATATGGGTGTTACCACGGGTGCGAGAGGGACGACGGTACCGCTGGAGTGATGCCTGTTTGCGTGGCTGGAAATAGCCATGGACCAAGAAAGGAGACTTGTAAATATTATAATAAACGGAAAATGCTGTGGTGCAGTGTGCCGAGTGGCCGTGACAGCTGCCGTCCGATATTGGCCCATAGGGCGCCCGATGACTCAGATCAGGTTAGGGCACCACGATCTGCGAATCGTAAAATCGAATAAGCTGCTCGGACCGCTGGATTATGAATACAACCGTTTATTTAGTAAATACGGTTTTATGAATGAAGAAACACTTTAATGTAGATGTATGAGTGTGAAATTCAGGTTTTATGTTGATAATATTATCAAGACATTCGTCTGCTTGGCAAAGCGCTTTAGCCTTTATATGTTTGGAATAAAATTCTGTTTCCACTATATTTCAACTTTTCTCTTTACACCAGCTAATTTGGCAGCTGGACGAGCTGTCTGGGAGGCTCAAAATTTCTTATCCTTTATTTACTCATTTTTTTTCGAAAAAAAATTTTACTAAGACTAAAATATAAAAATTATGATGATAATGATTATTTTGATTGGATCCTGTATACATATACTGTATGCAGACACACAATTACATATATTTTGAGACCTTTTCTCAAAGGAATCTAGGTAAGGATTTTGACTTCTAAACATCAAATTTAGAAGTCAAAATCCTATAATCCTTTTAATCGGCTAAACATCAATTTGGAGTTTTCATATGAAATTGTTAAATAAAGTGTAGAGAAGTAAGAAAATATTATTGTTGCTTACAGTTATTTTTGTTGTTTTAAATAGTATTTTGTTACTGAAAGGACAGGCCAAGGTTAGCTTTTATAACATTACAGTAAATAAAAAAAAATGTATTTAAGTCTCACTTTGAAGTCAGAGAGCGATGCCATTAGATCATCGAGCTCCTTAGTGGCGCTGGAGGCGTGATAGTGGTGGCGGTGGGGCGCCACCGTCGTCGGGGGTTGCTGCTGCGCCTGCGCAGGCTCCACCACGGTCTCTTGGACGGTAACCGTCACCTGCTTGGTGCCTGGCCGTGGAAGCGTGCCGGACGATGGTGGAATTGGCGATGTTGATGAGCGACTGTTAAATAAGAAACGTACTGTTATTATATATATTTTTAAAGGATGATAATGAAATGGCATTACTGCTTGCGCTAACGGTACACGCTGGCGTAGCACCAGTGACGGATATGTAAGAAAAAAAAGTAGGTCAATTAGTCCATCATGATGAATACGCCTGGAATTCAGCACGACAGTTTCTAAGGGGGACCACGTGGAGGTCGACCTGATAGGGTATATTATTGGCAATGGGACTAACTATCTATACTATACCAACAATCCTTTCCCCCTCTATTGTTATTATATTAGGTCAATATTAGGAAATCTCCTTCTAGATATGTATATTTTTATAAAACTTTGTTAACGTATTCTTTTTATTTAAGCGGTGTGCAATTATTTATAAAGAAAGAAAAATATAAAATATTAATATAAGTGTTCCTACACAAACAATACACTACATAAAATACAATTCCTACAGGCACTTTAATCACAACAAAAATAATAAGGGATCAATACAGAAGTGTATCCTGTCAGTGACAAAAATATTATCTATGATAAAATATCATTCTAGCGTGATTATTAAACTATATCCGTGTGGCAAAGTGTGCCACGTTACATGAAATGAGGTCGCGGGTTCAATTCGCGGCCAGACAAAGTGACTTAACGCACTTTTAGTATTGGCAACTATTTTTATCCGATTATTAAAGAAAGGAGGTTAATGGTTTTTGGGTGTTCATATATAATTAGTAGAAGGGATTATATAAAAGCATATAAGATAAATATATAAAGCAAATAAATATTTCATATCAATTAGTTTCATTTCCGTTTCACGGCCGTGTGGTCCCGGCATAGAATAGGCCACCCCTTCCTTTACCGTGGATGTCGTAAGAGGCGACTAAGGAGGGCGAGAGATGGGCAGCAACGTCTCTCTTAAAACATCTGTAAAGCCTAACTGCGGTTGCCAGTCTGCCTGCCAAGCGTGGCCACTGCTGGCAAAACCACCTAAGATGGATACTTATGTTCCGCAGTGGACACTTAAAGGCTGATGATGATGAATTTCATTTAATAAAAATAAGCTATATACAGAAATTGTGTTTATCGTTTTAACCGAGTGTTCCTATTTTTTTTTTTGATGGGTGGTCTTACAGATCACCAGGCTCCCAAACTCAAGGACATCTATTTTACTTGATCTATAAAGGTAAGAGTATACAAGTTAATAAATGAAATTATAATATTAGTGAGTATAAATATATATGTATGTTGTATTTATTACGAGACAATGTTTATAAACATACCTTTCCTAAACAACCGATGGCAATTAATATAAGTAACACTTTAATCCAACCTACTATTCTTGTATGCCAAATTACATTTATTAATGTCTAACAAATCTTTGTTCCTACATAAAGTTCATGCCCTAATGTAATAAATATACACGCAATAAATCTTGACTGATAAATTAAATAAGGTCATAACTCCAATAATTTCAAAACATATCTATACTTATAATAAATCTGTAGAGAGGTCAATTCTGTGCATGAAATATATTTCCAAAATAACTATCAGGGGGGTGATTAGTGATCGATACTGATGCCAAAAATGCAATCAGTAAAATTTTTGTCTGTCTATCTGTATATTCGTTATAGAAACAAAAACTACTCGACAGATTTTAACGAAACTTGGTACAATTATTCTTCATACTCCTGGGCAGGTATACTTTTCATCACGCTACGATCAATAGGAGCAGAGCAGTGAAGGGAAATGTTAGGAAAACGAGAGAAATTACTCCATTTTTAAGCTTCCGTCGCGTTGCACACGCCTTAGTAGCCATTTTTTTAAATATAAAAATGTCCACCTGTGCGAAGCCGGGACGGGCCGCTAGTATTAAATATATATTCCACTGCTGGGTTCCATCATTACACCAGCCTTCACAGCTGAACATAAGCCTCCCCCTTGGGAGGTTATGATTTTTTTTATGAACACAATTTTAAATTATATCATCAAGTATAAACTTCTTATAGTTATCTTTCGTCACAATCTTTTGTCTAGTTTCAGCATAGATGTATTTAAAGGGGCCTAGGTGGACCATGCCCACTTCAGATGTGTCCGATGATCAACGCCATGATATGAATGGAGCTTTTGCCTATGTGCAAAGATAGGTGTGATGTGTAAGAGATGTATAATGTCTTTTTTAAAGGCCATATCTGAGTTTAACGTAATTTATATTGAATTTTCGCCAAAATTATATACGTAAAATTAAACATATTTTAGTTTCGACTAACATTTAAAAATTTTATTTTATAATTTGAAAACATAAACAACGTTATTTACATAAAATCTCGTAAGGTAGTTACGCCCTATTATCCCTCGATAGAGAAACACAGATTGCATCTGAAAAGTGCTGGCAGGTGCATGAGTAGTTCGCGAACTAACACTAATTACAGGGCGGAAACATGCGCAAACGGCGCCGGGCTATGCCAAGAACAATTATACGGCGTACTGTGTACTCAACATTGTTCATAACTTTTGACTGTAACGGATGGATTGATTTACTTATATTTATTATAGAAATTATATATATATTTTACTGCATTTGTAAAAAAAGATACAGCGATTAGTTTAACAACTTGTTAGCAAGGGTGGGTCTATCTGTGTGAGAGAGAGAGAGATTTTCCAGTCAATGCAATGCAATGGGAAAGAAAATGATTAGGGGATAATCTAGTACAGGAAAGTTGCGTACAAAATAATTATTTGTCTAGGTTTATACGTGAAGTTTTTCATTCAACTGAGAATACAATTAAATTTAAGACTTATTTTTATGACACAGAGTTCAATTTTGACAAAATTACTAACACAAGAGTAGATGATATTAATGATGTTGATTGTAGACACTTAATGGAATTTAAAAGCTTATGATGATTGTATAAAAATACTTGTACTATTCTATATTTTAATAGTACGAAAGTAGACAATTGCGATTAAAAACGAACCGTGAAAATATTTATTTATTAAACTTTAATACACGTAGAAAGTGTAAACGGCGGACTTACCACCACATGGCGTTATCTACCAGTCGACCGTAGACAGGAATAACAGAAAATATAAATGACGGTGCAACGTATAAAAACGCAAAAAGAAAAGTTTAATTGACAACTTTCTCCATTTTGAAATCTGTTACAAATAAGTCAATTATCATTATTTATGCCAATCATTTACTGTAACTCGTGAACATAAGTCTACCACATGGACTACCAAAAAAGTGAGATTATATTAAGTTATAACTATTATTATTATTTCAGTCGTTAATTTGTTTTACCGTTTTGCCAGTAATGACACGCTTAGCAGGCAAGTTGGTAACCGCAGTTAGGCCTTTAAATACGCTGCCCATCCCTCGCCCTCCCTTAGTCGCCTCTTACGACACCCACGGGAAAGAAAGGGGTGGCCCTTTCTGTGCCGGGGTACACACGGTATTACTCTGTAGTTAGATACAAGTCGTAGCTAACTATAGAGTAATGAAGTTCCTTTACATTGGTAACAATGACGTTGGATTGACGCAAGGCCGTTCATAATGATGTCAGCCCGCCCTGTAGATTGTAAGTACATGAAAAGATATTTATTATCTGTAACGTCGTATCTCCTGAATATAGGCGTCTAAAAATAATAACGGAAATTGTGAAAGAAAGAAAATAAGTATTGCAAAAAAAATCTATTGATGTTGGAGATTTTTGGCACATGGTGGAATTTAGAATTTATTTGGAAGTCATAAAGATGAAATTAATGAAATCATTGGTAATAAATTATAATTAATGAATAATTAAAAAAAAAAATAGATTGACCACATATTTAGTACTAAATATAAGGGCAAGTAACATGTACATATTTATTTAAAAAATAATAGATATATTTTTATATTTAAGGATAGTTATAGATTATGGGAATAACAAAATGGCGGCTTCAAGAAACTCGAAGCTTAAAAATAAAACAAATTATATTGAGAAAAGTAATCAAACCCTATACTTTCATTTAAAAAATATTATATTGCAAACTAGATCATCCTATACCAATTTAAACATTTCTGCTTGCCCTTATTTATTTTTTTTAAGAAAAAAAAGCGCGCCAGTTTTTGGTGTTGCAAGTAATATAATAACTATAATATGCGGTAGACGAATTGCGTAACTTTATTTACGGTGTATGATACACGAAATATTGACAACAACTTTTATGTTCTTGCGAAAAAAATTGGATTTTTGTCTAAGTGTTTGTAGAAAGATGCTCTATCTATGTCATTAATCTAAGGATGCCACCAATTTTTTATCAACACAGATCAATAAATAATGTCATCATCGTGTGCGTTACCTAGAAAATATTACGATAATACTTAGTCACAATATTATTTTCAATCCGGAGTGAAAAGATTTATACCGTTGTATTCAAAGTAGCAAGCCGAAAAGTGTATTTTGCTCGGCGTGTTGATCAGTTTGCACTGAAGTTACTTTGAGAATCATGTTATATTTAAGCGACTTTCAAATATTTAAAGATTGTATGCCACAAAAAAATTTACTTCAAACGTGACAAAACCAGTTATTTTGATCTAAAAATTAAACTTCTGAATTGATTTTGATAACATTTTTATGGGAGTAATTTATAAGTATAGCGTTTCAGATAAAAAAAAAAAAAAACTAATTTTCCACATCGGTTTAGAACCGACAGAGTTATGAGGTAACAAACAAAAAATTAATACAACCGAATTGAGAATTTTTTGAAGCCAGTTGAAAATAGGTTTTAAAATTAACTATTTTTTGTGTGTCCATTACGCGATATATTTGCTAATTCTGAATCGAACTGATAATTCGCAAACAGTAGAATTTATTCTAGTGTAAAGCAGAATTTACTAATAAAAATGTACTACTAAATCATATTTAATCTACAGTATTGTATTTGAAATGTTGTGTCAATATTTTATCAGAGAGAGATTTTGTGCAAAAATTATCTGTCCTATTCGTATTTTTGCCGCCAAATCTG